CTAAATCGATATTTTAGTGTCTGTTAAAACCAGTACGGTCGTAACTTCCGTCCACATACTTATGTGTGTACTTATGGTATTTTAAGTAGTTGATTGGTCCACAGAAAACAATAGGTTTTCGTTTCCAAGTTGCCTATGTGCCAGAGTTCTCTTCAAGGTCCACATGGAAAGTAGGAAGTACTCACGAGTCTCACATGTACTATGTTAGATTATGTACGTAGAATATCTGCCCCACACAATCCCGCCACTAGATCCGAACTAGCAACCCCTGCTAAGTCCCGCAGGAACTCGAGTTTCCGGGCCTTATCAAACGATCTCCGCAAACGCCCCTGAAAGCAATATTGCCTATCAGAACAACATCACACGTCCTTGTCTCTTCGTTATTTCCGGGCAATGGAATAACCTGTTGCTCTAATCATAAAACTGATCGGCTGATCCGCATACTGGACTGTCACATTGCACATGCATTGCCGCCAGGTGTGCTGAAATTGCTCGATTGGCGTTTAGCTTGCCTCATATGCACCGGCAGGAGTGCCGTCTGCTGCAAATATCAATAGCAGTGCATTTACTCAAAGGGCTCTACTCATGTTGAAGTTCAAAGAGTGAGTCAGCACGGCTGTATTCAATTTGCCCAAACAGACTACGAGATTGCAGCGTTTACGACTTGATTGCTTCCTGTGTGTAATATCAAAGCATAACTCATTTTTCAATCGCTTTCAACAATACGAGTGCCACTCTTTGCGACAATTTGCGTCTACATTATCAGGAAACACCACTCTTCTGTTCCAGCAAAATCTGCAATCACACTGCCTTGGCTTGAAAAGTCGAAAGGTATTTGTTGAAGCTTCGATATATGCAACTTTCAAGAGAACATCCATCTAAGTACTGCTGCCATCCTAGGGTTCACTTCTAGATTCGCCCAGCACTGTTGCACCATGTTCTTCAACCTCCCAGCAGAGCATGAGTCAGGACCAATTCCCAAATTTTTAGGCTCCCGCCCCCCTCAATCTACACAGCAACAAATGCTTTCGCACGATTTAAACCTCACAAATCGCAGGTCCAACCGCAGTCCAAAGACATCCGCAGAAATGACGGCTACACCAGATATTGATATAGCAATCAATAACGACCCTGAAGAGAATGACATTCGCGAAGGACTTGGGAGTCTTAATCGCTGGTCTCAGTCGACAACATCTAGCAGAAATTCGCATAAAGCGTTCTTCACAAACAATGAGTTGTGGGGCGATCAAATGAGTCCAAGCAGCAAAGTGGGGTCGAATCCTTCACGAACATCATTCGCACCTGCAGATCATGAAACTTCCTGTGGATACCATTCTCTCCGAGAATCTGTACATCAAGATCTCAGTGAACATCTGGCGTTCACCGCAAATGAGGTGGTTTCATTCACCTCGGGCGCTATAAATGCAACCTCGCCGCAAAAGGATGCACAAGTGCCGCGAACTACTCAGCCTCTTCCTAGTCTGTTCCAGAACCCGTGGACTGAGAGACGCAGTCAATACGTTGAGAAGGGGAGGTTGGAGCGCGAAGATCATTGCACTCACCCTATGTCTGAATCAGACAGTCCTCGCACTCAAGGCTTAGACATGCCTGTTCATACAGATTCAGAATTGTCTCTTATGAAAGGCAAGGCCTACGAACGAAGAAAACGTGGTCAGTCCCAGAAAGTAATGCTTTCGAAAGCGCTGCAGAAAGCGAACACTGCCGTCCTACTTGACAACGCTGCAAATTTTGAAGGAGCGATGGAAGCGTACAACGATGCTTGTCAATTACTTCAGTTGGTAATGGATCGAAGTGATGGGGGTGAAGACGAGAAGCTAAAACTTCAAGAAATAGTGAGTTCCCCTGCAGCAGATACGTAAATTAGTACTGCGGGCTGAGCTTAAGAAAAGCGCGATACCTATATGATTCGTGTAAACGAGCTCCAACGTATGGACTTTTCAGTCCGAAACGTGGATAGTAAAGCCCTTCCTGAGCGGCCCCGCAGTGAAGAGTCTTATGTGGAATATTCGTCAATGCAGGAGAACAGACATACATCATTCAAAGAGGAGGACCTGAACCGCTCACAGCACGGTTCCGATGTGCATTTGGTCCTTAAAATGAAAGAAACGATGCCGTACAGTCAATCCTCTCCACGGCAGCTACTGCTTCTGCCATCTGCAATTGATGATGATGATGCTGATGCTGCTGCTGCTGCTGCTGCTGCTGCTGCTGATGATGATAAAATGGTTACCACTTCTGACCATGACTGGATAAATCAGGCATTGGAACTAAAGGAAAAAATGTCCCAGGCAGCTTCTCGGCGATCTGACGAGCACATTAGAGGCTCGATTACTTATAATGAGCCTACACCAGAAGCTGGTGTAGGCCAACAATCTGTTGAACCGCCGCTATCTGAGATGCCTCTGTTTGGTACTCAAGGTAAGGATGTTCACGAAACAACATCATGGCTCGATACTATCGACGAGTCTGGTGCTTCTTCGCCCGCTTCTATCCGTTCAACTTCGTCGTCTCTCTACCTACGTCGCAGAACAGGTCATCAATCAATCTATGGTACTGAGGCTGAATTTGATGCTGCCCTGGATGCAGCCGTCGAAGCCGCCTATTATGAGGATTTGCAGCTGTTAACTAGTTCAACCGACCATCGCATGGCCCAAAGCCGGCGGAAAACCGTCGACTCAGGGAATCAACAGGCCAGAGAATCTGCAACGGAGAATGGGGAGATCCTTGAGATCCAGGAATCGCTTCTAACCTATAACGAGGCACCTCTTGACAGTTTTGCTGGTCCTGCAAAGGGGTATGTGGATGATGAAGTCGAGGAAGAGGAGCGCTTACTAGAGGAAATGACGAGAGGCTATATCATGGATGAATTCGAATTCGGTGTTCAGTCTAAGTCCGCCTTGCCTCGGCAGCCAGTCTCAAGCAGCCAATTCGGCCGATCACGAGAGAGCATTGGGTTAGCTCCTAACCATGGAGCTGTGGACTTGAATTCATATACCTCACACCAAGCTACAGGATCTGAGCCCAACAATTTCACTCAGCCAGAACACAGCCTCGTAGCTTCGATCACCAAGCCGACATCTGGTTCCTCAGTAGGATCAAGTGTTCGAGCACGAAGGCTGTCAGGCCAGCATACTACCGAGCTGAAGATCGAGACAAAGCCCCACTTCGACGCTCGCTTGAAAATCACATCGATACAGCCGCCAGATCCATTTGTCCCTCCCACAGAAACGGCTTCCAAAGATGAGCAATTGCTGAGAAATAGTAACTCGTCGCAGAAAACACCAGGTTCAGCTTCTGGCTTCCGATCAATCATACAAGCCAAAAGGCGCAATGTGTCAGTCAGTTCTTTCACTGAGGACATGCTGGCACATGCAACTGCTGGAAAGACTCAAGACAGCGGCAATCCCTGGCATGCGAAACTTCCTTCCCCGACTCGACCAATTGGTAAGGTGCCATCGGCACCAGACAGTCTGGGCAAATCATATACTGGGCTGGGCCCTTTCCGGACGCGAAAAATATCAGCATCGGGGACAGAAATGCCCTCCGAGTCACCCAAAACTCCATCAAACAATGCTTTTCTTGTGTCAGAAGCCCAGAAAGGGCCGATGACTGCGTCTATACCCATACTGCCTACACCAATCGGGACTAGCATTGCTGCAAATGGGCCACCGAGCGGTGGTCTTAATTTGTTTGACACAAACATCCATTCTCCAACAAGTCCCGGCTCACCCAATGTGATGGCGACTGATCCTCCACTTCCTTTGGAGCCATGCCCTGAATCGTTTCTTCTACGGCCATTCTGGCTCATGCGTTGCATCTATCAGACTATGGCACATCCACGTGGTGGCTACCTATCCACAAAGCTTTTCGTCCCACGGGATGTCTGGCGCGTGAAAAATGTCAAGATTAAAGCTATTGAGGAAAAAGTATCAAGTTGCGATTTGTTGACGGCTGCCTTACTGAAACTGGCCCAAGTTGATACTTATGATGCCGACGCTGTTCTAGAGGAAATGCAGTCACTGGAAAGTGTACTTGACCAGGTGCAGATGTTACTCTCAAAGAAAGTTGGAAGTGAAGTTGGTGTTCAAGGAGCTATGGCTTTCCTAAGGTCTAGCTTGTCCTATGACGATGCAACGAATGTTGATAATCTGGTCTCCAAGCCGTCTACTGGTCCCAGCAAGTCCTATCTGACATCGTGGCGCAAACTACGTTCTAAAAACTCCGGCTTTGCTGTGGCGTCTTCGGCGTCCGCGTCGAAAGAGTCAAGCAGGGACTTCTCTACTAGTAATACCGTCCCGATGACTTCAGTTCCTGCTTCTCAACACGCCAAGCGCAACATCTCACAACTACAGCTCAACGGAGCCAGTAACTACATGGGAGCTCTGGCCCGGCTTTGTGATGCCGTTCAGGTTTTAGGTTCGTCAATTTCGTTGCTGTTTGGGATCCTGCTTTGTGCTTGAAAACTAAGTTGCGGAATGTCCAGATCAAATCGCCCAGCAGGTCGAAGATCCTGGTCTGAAGCATTCGTCTCCGACTCTTGTTGGTCTTGAGTTAAGCACCCGCCATGCTGCAGAGTTCTTTGGTTTCTACATCTGTCGCTTTGCCTTGAATGATATCGGATTGATGCTTGATAAATTTATCAAGAGAGGCAGTGAATGGGTTTTGATCTGATTCGAAAATGCCTGATAATACCCTGTTTCATGTATTTGTCATATTCTCAGCTTGTACCGGAGTCTGCATTGATCTGTGGCGTCACAAACTTGACATATAATGCAAAAAATAGCAAATCGTCATGCTACGTCTCATATCACAATTTCAAATGCACCGTAGAAGGGTTTCACCTGTTGTGTAGTTCTCGCCTGGAACATGCCTCCGGGCTGGCATGGGAGTCTTGTTGCATCTCTCCCTAGGGCCCATGCTAACCTGATCGGATCATACTTGATCGATAAGAGCAATACTTAAGATTCGAGACCATATATCTAGATTTGCTTAGCCACTGACCTAAGGCTTATTTGCCGTTTTTTCTCGGCATCACGTATAATTTCTGCCGAGAGCTTGAGGCTTGGAGCAAGGTGCGCATATCGATTGACTTCCTCTATGACACCGCTGATTATCGCATTCACTCGGGCCGCTGAAGGTAGGAGTACTGAAAGCGCCGGGGACATGGTTGACCCCATAATCAGTAACGTCTGTGAAACCATAGAGAGGGCGCCTTGCCAGAGGTAAGGGAGATGGCCTTCACGATGGCGACTAATGTGATCAAGCTGGTTCAGTGTCGCGTCTAAGCATCGTCGACAACATTCTCTGACCATTGGGTCTGCGGATGTTTGTTCATGCTGAAGTACCGCCAGAATGTAGGGGCGATAGATGATCGTGCGACATGCAAAGTACCGAAGTCTCAGAACGGTCTGGATAGAGTTCGAAGTCTGGAGAGAGGAAAGGGGGAATCGAACAGCTTGGGGAAGTCCTTCGTACCACTGTGAAAGCTGAAAATCCAGCTCGGAGGCAATCGGCCCAAGAGATGCAAGGGTAAGAGAGTTATCCTTCTGATAAATAACATGACTGACACGGTTAAGAAGCCTTCTCAGAGCAATTTCGGCCAAGAAGTACCAGAGCTCGTCGTGCCCTACTACCGCATCTACAACGTGATTTTCCCGGGGTGTGCTGCTCTGATCCTCATCTTCGTCATCCTCTGGTTCGAAGCCACCTGGCAGATCAACAAGCTCCTCATAGTGCACAATGCCTGAGTGTGGAAGGTCTAGTTCTGCCAGTAGATCGCTTTCGTATAGAAGAGCATTCCAGTATAGTCTGGTGCTTAATTCCCTCCATTGAGCAGAAACACGGGACGGATTGCCAAACAGCAGCTGTAGCTTCAAGCTAGCACTCGAAAGTAGCGACCAGGCCTCCAATGGCCTTACCAAGTAGAATAGATAGGCAGAAGCGAGAATGTTGCATTGGGCAGCGAGAACAGAATTGCGCATTGTAACGTTGGGCAGAAGGCCCCATGCGGCAACGAAATATGGCAGCCCTGGCGGGTCTGCCTCGGGTGAAAGAGTTGATATGCTTCCATATTGACTTGCACACCCTAGCGCAAGGACCAAAAGAACGATACAGCTTTCAGCTCCCTCCTGAAAGCTAGATGAGATAGCTATATCATAATAACGAGGCCAGGTATATGGGTTAACGCAGGCGTACCAGACATTAACCCGCGCAAAAAAAGCCCGAGCATGTGCGACAGCGTTAGAGAGATCGAGTCCAACATAGTGTGGGATCCGAAGTGGCTCACGTGCCATTTCTAGCTGTAGTAGGGTGTGAGGATCGTAAGGTGCAGCAACAAGATCTCGGATGAATGGCCATTGTAATAGATTCAAGGCTGGCGTTGTGTGAAGCTTGGGCATTGTTGAGATGCTCGTTGGTGGGTTTGCCCAGGATCCAAGCCCGACAACCGATGTTCTGGATGACAATGTGGTGTCCTCTGTCATGTTGACGGCGGAATCGTCGTTACTTGCAGGTTCATTGACAGTCTCAGTTGTTGTCGAAGACAGGGGTGAATTACTGGCCGCAGCAGCCATCCTCGAACGTAACAAGCCCTCAATTCTGTCCAGTTTCTCAATGATTAGCTTGTCCCCGGCATCTAGCTTGATGCCCGGCTCTCGATAAATACACTCCGCATCAAGGTCGATACATAGCTGGCATCTGGGACGTGCGCCATTGCATCTTGTTTTGCGTAAACGGCAGATCTGACACTATCACCGTCGTCAACTATGCACACAACGAAGTACTATGTTTGCCAAGAGAAGCACTCATTCATGGCAAGACCAACCTCGGGCCATCTTGGAGAGGTAATAGCACCATATGTCTTTAAAAAAGAGGAAGGGATCAAGCAAAAGAAAGGAAAAAACATACTGCTACAGTCGCGCGTCGTCGAGGATAATCAACTGCTTCAGCATGATAGCGTTTGCGGGTTAAGGGGGGATCGAGCGCCTCCTCCATGTCATGAGCAGACATGACTGAATGCTCGGTGGATTATCTCGAGGTTAAATCAGTTGCTCTAAAAGACCTTAGGATGCCGAGGGATGCCTTCGCTGAAGAAGCAGAACAAAGTCAAGTCTGCCTAGTATCGAGAGAAATGGCAGTCCCAGTTGCACTAGAGAATCGTCGGCTGGGGTTTCTCGAAAGAACAAGACGTGTCCTAGCCCATATTCATGAACTACCCATGATACTGTCAGGGGAGACAGATGGGTCGAGGTAGTTAACTGAACTGATCACTTGCGAAAGTGATCAACTGCTCCGGCTGCACAGACCGAATAATACCCTCCAAACAAGCGGAATCGATAACCATTCGTTTACTAGTCTATACTAGCTTTAGTCCGGACGCATATGATTCGAAGACAATCAAGTGTTCGGAGATTCTCCTTGGTAACTTACCGCGTAGATATATTACAGAGAAGGGGGCGGGCGATGTTGGCCCATATTATGACAAGACTGAAGGGTCCGACCACATGGTAAGATGCCCCTCTTCCCCCGATTTCCCCGCAAGATGCAAAGAAAGAAAGCCCACAGGGACCGAAACCTTGGACCAATAAGTTCCTTTCATTAGGTGTCGGTTAATAAGATGCATATGTAATGAGCCTGTCGGTGCTCTGTCTGATGGGCTGCAATGCAGGCAACATTTGGTACTCTTAGCTTCGTATTGTTTACCATGCCATTACGATAAGAATGTGGTCTCTCACCTCGGTAGTGAGAGGTGGACTAAGAGCAACAGACGAACGGTTAGTAGTTTCAACTTGAAACAAGGTAGAATATCATTAACAGCTAACCTCTCACAAACCTGTAAATGTGCGGTGCTACATAATTATTGAAGCATAGTGTGGTCAATCACCGATCACTCTAGATTATAAGTGCATGTTGTTATTGACGGTTCTTGACAGTCACTATAACCACCTAAGTTACTAGGTGCTAGGTAGCTACGTAAATGCTTGTAACTTAGTTATCATGCGGGGTAATTTCACAAAGTCATTGCGGAATCTGATTGCACAAGACAGACACGGTGACTACACACAAAGCCTAACTAACTTTACAATATTTCCAACAACTTCAAGCTTCTCACATGCAGGAGTATGTACTTAGGTCTTATTAATCATTTGTAGATATCTACATTCGTGATTTGTATTGGATACTCAAAATCCTCCCTTACTCGTGACGCTGATGACTGACCATTTATGCAGCTCGCTGAGACCCCAAAGGTGCAGAACCCTCCAAACCCGACGTCATACCGGCGCTATTCTTCCCCGGGGTCTGGCTGTCGACGGGTTCTGTCGTACTCTGCGCGGAACCACGGCCCCGAGTGTTGTAGCTGCTACCAGCAATGTCGGAAGAATGGGCGCGATTGTCTCGACTGGGTTCAATTTCGCCAATCCCTGGCTCTGCAGCAGTGGAGGGCCGAGTGTCGATGTTGTAGCGGCTACCGCCACCCACTGTGGCATGTGGGTCGAATGTCTTCGTGGTAGTTGGGCCAGCATTGCCAGAGATGGGAATCACGCCAGCGATACCGTTCACTTTCTCTCCGTTGAGGTCACTGTCCAGCGTTCCTTCCATGCGCTCTTTCTTGTTCCCTGCTGATGCGTTTGCTGCATTGCCAGTGGCATCGTGCTTCTGCGACTCGGTGCCACTATGGGATACGCGTGAGGCAGTGTTTCCCGACTTGAGGCCGGCGGTACCATCATCTGGCACGGCCTTATGGTATCCCACCTGTCCCGCCTGGATACCGCTACGATTGATCTCCGCCCGTGAGCTATCAGTGTTCCTCGACATGTGCTCTAGATGATGCTCATTCGAAGGCGATAGTTGGCCTGAGGTATGCCGACCTCCACCGCTGATCTCTGCGGACGGATCAGTATTGTATTGCGCCGCATGAACACTGCCACGGTTGGCCTTCGCACGTGCAATATCGGTACCCTCTGCCAGGGACCCCAGAGGGCTTGTCGAGGAGGGCATTCTATCCGTAGGGGTGGATTGAGTGGCTCCATTATCGAGATTCATCGATGGACTGAAAGTGCCGTGTGGTGCCGAGTGATGTGGGATGTTTTCCTGAAAACCTTGACCATTCTCTGTCCCCAAGGTTACATTGGGCGATGCAGTGTTTGAATCAGACATTTCTTGGCTCAAAGGTCGAGCAGTCGAGGCACCGAAAGCGTTGTATGAGCTCTGCGTATCCGCCATGGGGTGAACACCGTCGATACTACTCCTCTGTGGCTTGTCGAAGGCCATGGGCTGAGCGCTGCTACTGTAAGGATTGCGGCTGGCATTGGCGTGTCCCAAGGACCCGGCACTATGGTTTGACTCCATGCTGTTGGTTCCGAAGGCTTGCTCAGTCGCGTCAACGTTGTATGATGGGTCATCAATAGGGTTCATAATGTTGGACATGATGATTGCTGCAAGTATGTAGATGCTATGGATCGAATGACAAGTAAAGCGTGGATAGCAAATAATATTGTAGGTATTGTGATTCGGGTGATATGTAGCTAATCAACGGAAATCTTGAGAGAGGCTATCATCCGATTTTATAGACTTCGAGTGCCTTGTTATGAGCTTGATGACGTAGAAAAAGCCGGCTCTCTGGAAGTTCTCTGCAAGGATTCCCGATTCCAACCTGTAGATTACTGTGACTATCATTTCTTCGTCAAGTTCGGGGAGGCGCGTCAATCCCCATTTGAATTTGACACCTTCTTTGGACGAGCATTACCAAAGCCAATCAGGGTCAAGGACTTGCGGGCTTGGTGGCTATCTGGAATCATCAGCACAGCTAGTCATACTTAGTATGTTGTCATTGCGAGTACTCTCTTTTGATGGATTACTTCATATCCGAGCACCTACAAGGTTGCCCCTTTTGCTTATGATGTCATCCTTCACTGTGGGCCGCTAGCCCTATGTGCAATGGCGTAATGTGGAAGGAAAATCAGATTGGCCCTCTTCTGAGAGCGCTGAACATATTGTGTGCAATTTCAGCTTGAGTCATCTCGTGACCACTCCGTAGAAATATCTTGGTCATACTCATTACCTGTAACTAGTTTACCAGAAGTCCGGATCTAGTGTCGACTTCTCTCGGGAGACCGTCAATCTCTTTCTCATCTGAGCTTAGATCACCATATATGCAGACGCTCACTGCACATCACCAATTCTTTTCAACGGGATATCTTGAACTTACTATGTACACCTCAGGTCAGTTCTGCGTCCCAAGTCTTATGATTATTTTTGGTCGGAGCCCGAGTATGTACACTGCCCACGAGGCACTATGAAATCTACTACGCATAACCTACATAGTATGGGACACCTGTAGGGGCCCTTCCGTTTGCTTCTGCAATGGCCTGCGCTCCTATCTTGTCCTATCAACAATGGCTTGGGCTCGCCCTGCTTCTCATACCATTCCAAGCTGCCTACCATGTCAGTTCTCCTTTTAACCAACTGAAAAGAGAATCTAACACATCGATCCTCCGAAGTTTTTCCACTTGTAATATGGTTCCTATGTCTTTTCCTTATATAGTTTATGATTTGATTGTTTTTCACATAGGCTGCTGTGCCCGCCCCATTGCGATACCAGACTGTGCAGGAAGCCAACCTTGAAAAGCTCCCCTGCTACTGCTTGTAGTAAATAGAAGTAATACTACACTTACTCCAGGGATTTCAAATATAGGTATCAAACTATACATTGCACATGTAACCCGGTTTCATATTAGGATTAGGGGGCTATGAGGGGTTTCCAAAGGCTGAAGATATGATTATCAGGGAATTTTTTTAGGATATGCTTACTATTCTCTTTGCATTAACTACAGGTTTCCGGAGTTAAGTTGTTGAATCTAATTATTTAGGTGTAAAAATCCTAAGAAATGTAAGATCAGGTATAACTACTACTACTTTGCCTATAGCAAGATAGTAGCAGACAAGGTAAAGAAGCCTTGCCGCCTACCATAGCGTAGCAATTTCTCTGTTGTAAAGTACTGGTAATCTACCTACGCCCGAGTGCTTGACCGCCTACAGAAGGTAGTAACTACCGCCTAGGCAGTAGTTAAAGGATAATAAATGCAGCTATAATGCAGCTACATCAAAGCATAAACATATTATGGCACGGTGTATCTATTTCTATTAGAAGCACATCTAAGTGCTCTTCCTGAAGAGAAACAGAAAGTTTGATTTCATCAGCTTTGGTCCTGTGTCTTCAAAAGCCTGATTCCTTGAGATCTGTTGCACGCGTACGCGTTCTCAGCACGTCGCGTTCTTATCTATCAGGCAGGGATTCAAGCCGCATTTTAATCCTTCGCTGTGCACCAACCTACCGTCGTCACCGGTATAGGTCCTAGATTTTGATTGAATCGACAAGTGATTACGAAGGCTCAGCCCGTATAAACGGCTTTCTGAAAAGTCTACCGTTCGACAAAAACATGCCGCGACCCCCTACGAAGCGTAATCGACCGACACTTGGAATTTCGAAGACTGGGAACAGAGATCTTCAACGTGTCACGGACAATTCCGGGTTGACGAAGCATAATCCAAACGACTCAAACTGTGAATCGCCGGCTGTCTTGCGGGTCACACAGCTCCCAGCATCTGATCTCGCGCTGCATCAAAAAGACCAGACGCCTGTAGTCAAATCCCATGATTATGCGATTGAATCATCACCCCTGGAAGAGCGTGGAGCGGGTAGCAGTCGTCCGGTCACAAGGGCTCGTGGATACTCATCTACTCTGTCCATCGTCGGTCGGAAAGGTGATGGGAATTCGAGGATTCCAGGCACACCTGCTTACGAGAGTTCGATATTGAGCAATTTCAGAAGACGACCACGGCAACCTAGCATTCTCCATATGATGCAAGCGAATGACGATTCTTCAGATCTGGACGATGAGGACTTTCTTGGAGGACTAAGTCCTGAGGACGAGTCCACACCCTTGGATATATCGAGGGGGAAATCACTCATCGCGGGGCACGCCGCATCATCGTCACCAGGCCTACCGTCGCCTTCCAGCAGCAAACAGCGCAAGCGTACACCTTCGTCTGGGGATACTTGTTCTGCACCACGTCCGCAACAAGTGCGGCATTCGCCTCCTACAATGATAATGGGGCAGGAAGATGAGACCCCAATACGCTTATCCCAGCCTCTCATGTCTCCTGAGGCCACGAGCGCCACAATGGCGCCACCTATGAGCAGCAGTCCCTCCATGAGCCCCCCAATTGCACCTTCGCTGATCTATGCCGAACAGCCTCTAGCTCTTTCCAGAATCGCGCTGGGAATTCCAGCTGAGCGAAGCAAGGTGGGCACGAGTTTACCCACGGTGGCTCTCCAAAATGAACTGCTACCTCGGAGAATCAAAATCCGGCGCCAATGCTGGGGTCCCAATCTAGAGACACAGAGCAGGCTGAGTGATGATAGCTGTTCCGAAATGGAGCATCATGAGAGTGACTTCCCACCAGGGAAGGCCACCCGGGCACCTCTAAGACACATTGGCAAGCCGGGTCCTCCACAGTCCTATGATAACCCACAAAAAGAGCAACCAACAAATGTCATGGCTGAGTCAAGAAAGAGGAATCGTGGTCAAACTCAAAACAACAAGAAGACAAGACTGGGGGCTGACCGGCTACCCTGTGCAACTACCCATGCATTTCAGGAGGGTCCTTTGTCACCTTTCTCGTCACCTTCTTCGTCACCTTTGTCCTCGCCTCTATCGTCACTGCCCGGTTCACAAGCCGATCACTCAAGTAGGCCATCGGGATCCGAACCGCTCAAAGCTAGGTATCTCAGCGAGGAGTTGAGAGTGCAGGCACAGAAGTTTGCGGACATCGATAAATGGGAGTTGGAATATGAAGATGTAACTATTGCCGCTAGTCAAGGGAGCGATGCTTTCAGATAAGGATTTACATGTTTCTCTTACAACCATCATCCTGATCATATTCCTAACCCCCGAGAAGAACCCTTGAAGACGTGGATAGTTAGAGCGAAAGGCGCTCTGCTAATACATCGGGCAATCAAAATTTCCAAAAGCTCCCGACAACTCGTCACATTTGATGTAGAAATCCAGGCAATCTCGTTGTGGCTGCGTAGATCCAAAGACGGCGGCGATTCAATGCCTTAGACGAACCCCGCAAAATGGTCCCCGCCCTTCGGTTGGGCCTTTTTCTGACTCACAGCCCTCCTACAAATCTCAACCTGATGGGAACCACTACCACAATTAGAGCCAACATGACTTCCCTGGAATCAATCCTGGCAGGTAAATACCCTGCAAAAGCTCATGCACGCCGGGTGGCCCAAGGTCTTCAATCTTATGGAAATGGCCGCCATGGAATTATCTACCTCGAAGCACAGAAAACTCGACTCATTGAGGACAATGACGAGGCCATGCCATTTAGGTACTGGGAAGCACTGGAATCCAGCTTCTGTACTTTTCAAGGCTAACAACCGTTTCATACTAGACAACGCCGACCGTTCTTCTATCTATCTGGATGTCTACTGCCAGATTCCTGTCTTATCTACAACATCGAGCTTGATGAACTTACCCTTTTCATCCCCCCAGTTGATCCACAGGATGTGATCTGGTCTGGCCTGCCAATGTCTGCAGTAGAAGCGCAAAGGCGTTATGATGTTGACTTTGTTCTGCCGACGCCTGCAGTGAACGCTACCCTATCTTCGATTGTTTCGAACAATCCCGGAAAAGTAATTGCTTTTGCGATTGAGGACCAAATTTCTGAGGGCACCGAGTTCCATGGGTTTTCTGAGGTCAACACCTCTTTACTCAAAGGTATCATTGGGACATCTCGTGTCGTCAAGGATGAATATGAGGTCGCGCTTCTGAGGAAGGCAAACGACATCTCCGCGAAGGCACATATTGCGGCCATAAAAGCCTCCAAGACTGCAACAAATGAGCGCGAGATCGAGGGTGCTTTCATAGCGACATGCATCGCCCACGGTGCACGCGAACAAGCATACCATCCAATCGTTGCATGCGGCGAGAATGGTGCCACCCTTCATTACGGCAAGAATGACACTAACTTGACCGATCCTGTCACCAACCAGAGAAAAGGAAGCGTTTTGATAGATGCGGGAGGGGAGTATAGCACATATTGTGCTGATATCACACGAGTCTTTCCTTTGGGTGGCAAATTCCCGCTAGAAACCCGCCAAATATATGAATTGGTCTTGCAGATGCAGACAGAATGCATTGAGATGCTGAAAGAAGACGTTCAGTGGGAGGACGTACACATCCATGCCCACCGCATTGCTATTCAGGGACTGAAGAAACTGGGAATTCTTCGTGGCCACGAAGACGAACTGATGGAAAAGAGGATCAGCGTGGCATTTTTCCCCCATGGATTGGGACACTATCTGGGTATGGACACCCATGATACTGGAGGCAACCCGAATTATGAAGATGAAGACACGATGTTCAAGTATCTTCGTGTAAGGGGTCGCTTGCCTGCTGGTTCGGTTATCACGGTAGAGCCAGGCGTAAGTATAAGATCACACGTTGGTACCGCTCAAATTGTGTTTCTAACTCGTCTAGATCTATTTTTGCCGCTTCATAATCGAACCTTTCCTCGAGTCCACCACGACAAGCAAATATATTAACACTGATGTCTTGGAGAAATATTGGAGTGTAGGTGGTGTGCGCATTGAGGATAACATCCATATCCTGAAAGATGGATTCGAGAACCTGACTACAGCACCAAAGACCGTCGAAGAGGTGGAAAGATTGTCTTCATAGACCGTTGCTCACTCTGTACCTTTGTCAAAGATTCCACCTTCAGGCTGTCCTATCCTGCCTACCCTTTCAATCGCCGGGCCTTGGTTGGAACATGGCCAGCCCAGGTATTCATGTCAGTTGAATGGGTACAGATGTGTCTATACATGAGAAAGTCACTGCAATCACATCATTGAACAATACGTGTATGAATATTGGCTCTTTGAATAATTTCTAATATTTCGGAGTATAAACAAACAGAATATTTTTTTATTAAATATATAAATAAAATAGTTAGTTTTAAAATATTATAAATAAACTAGCAGATTGGCTCCTTGAATATAGGATAAGCGCTCTCGACAGAAGTTGGAGGAATGTTACTGGAATATAAGAACTGAAAATGAGAGAAGCCCGGCAGCCTATGACTTGTCGAACCGAGGCACATCGCAACACCAAGTGGCTAGTTTGTTCATAGAGCATCCCGGTTGATTCATACATATGCGCTCTTCTTCTCCAGCTTATGGGGAATCATAGACCACTGCGCAGCCGCTTTCTTCCGCTTCCTTTCACCCCAGACTCTGCCTCTGCCCTATCATGTGCACGTTTCTCCTTGTGGTCTAACACAAGGCTGAGCACGTCATAGCAGAATTGAGGCACATCAATGCATAAATTCTTGAATTCCTCCTCAGCCTCGTGACGTAAAACATGGCTTCGCAAGGCCCAAAAGGTGGCCACAGGTTTGCGAATAGTGACATCATCAGCAGGTGTGTTTGTGTATACATAACGCGCATACGCAATTTCTCCTTGGGATGTGCTGTTTATACGATGGATCTTTGAATGTGCGAGAGCTTTCAGTGAAGGGATGCCTAATGTTTCCGCCAAGGTATACACCCGTGCGTGTTTCAGTAACTGTTCTCCGCTGTTGTCAATCTCCCCGACTACCGTCTCTTGCTCGGTGTGAGTTTCAGTGTGAGAGGTACAATAGTCACGCGTGTACTGAAACTGTAGAAAATACCCGAAAGCCTCCACACTTTCCGCAGGAAGCTCGATGCGCCGCTTGGAGATGTCAGCGGTGAGTGTTACTGCCAGAGAGTAACCAGGGTAAGGGATATGTGCTTACAGGACCAGATTCACCGAAGGCCGCGACCTTCTCCGCGAGAAGCGGAGACTCCAAAAGTAGACTTTGGTGAGCTGTCAAGATGGTCCTGGACTGTCCGGTCCCAAGAACGAGTTCCACAATAGGTGACGTTAAGAAACTGAATAATTTTGTAAGCACTTAAGGCCTTTTAGCAGTTGCGAACACGAGCAGTTGCGCCATCGAGTGACAACCCGAAGGCCGAGGTAAAAGAAAGCAAAAGACGAAGAAAGACGGGTTCTTACTCAAGAAATTGGAGGCCGGGGTTTCTTCTGGGTTCTAGTGGTTTTTGTTCGAGCTCAGGAGCTGGGCGTGCATCGTGCATCTCAATATCTGGTGTTATGCCTGTTTGCGATTTATTGACCGCCTTGGAAGCTGTCTTAATTTCAGGATCTGGGGTTGCCGTGCTCTCAACATTTTGAGACTGGGTGTTTCGAGGAGTATGAGTTTCCTCTGGCACTCCAACTTGCACCTGAGGAGTATCCATTATCCAAGATGGATCTACGCGACCAAAGCAGTAATTGAAGTGATAGGGAGCTGCGCGAGGATCAAGAAGTTCTTGAATTAAGTGGTAAAGGTGTCAAAGAACCCAATTATGGATGCAGGAGAGGAATTCCTAGACCAGCACAGGTCTGCAACGCGTTAGTGGTTAGCTGCTGTAATATCCTGGACGTGTCAGTTTAACCGGAAACGGACGATAAGTTATGGGGCAAGTGCAGTTCCCGAGGCAGAAGTTTCAGCATACAATACATCCTTACAGTACAATACTCAATGATCGGCTAGTAAAATCCAACTGACAGAACAGACCTCATAGATAGACCTTATAGTGTTTCCGGCCACAACCGGCTCTTGCCGATGTCCACTTGGTAACCTACCACGTCAAGGCCGAATTGCTGCCTTTCTCGAGTACAGTACATCTTAAGCCGCTTATTTGCGGCGCAGTCCATGTTAGGGTATTTTTGGTATCTACTACCTCCATCGACCCAGTACTAGTAGTTACCAACCAGTCGCTTGCCGTCACTGCCACAGCAATACTACTTGGAGGGGCAAGGGACGCAGGCATATTTTCCTTAGTGCCGTTCATTTATTCTTGTTATGCACGGCGTTTCTCTGGCCCTACTCTGGCGAACAAGCTTTTCGCGGGGAACAATTCGCACGTCTCCATCTACTCTCAATTTCAGACCCCTCATTCGCATATCCTGGAGTGTCCAAATCTCTCGAGCTTCCACACGTCGTAGCATGGCGACTATCGTCAATGTCCCGAGGGATCCCAATACCCTCAGCAATTACCACAATTGGCGGTGCAACCACATTACTGCCAATTTTGATATTTTGTTTCATGAAAAAAAGCTTGTGGGCAGCGTCACTCAGACGTTCCAGTCAGCCACCGATGGTGAGTCGCAAGAGATCGTCTTGGACTCAAACCATGTGAACATCGGTAGCATCACCCTGGATGGCAGGCCTTTGGCTTGGGAGCTTCTTCCGCCCTCCGACCCATACGGCAGGGCGTTGAAGATCAAACTCGACCGGAGTGTGAAGAAGAATGAGACGATTGACATCGAGGTATGTGCCTCACCGGAGAGTAACCCCAGCCTCAGCCTAACATACAGAACTTGTGCGTAGATTGCTCTTCAAACCACTGAGAAATGCACTGCCCTTCAGTGGCTGACACCGGCGCAAACCTCTAATAAAAGGCATCCGTATATGTGTGGGTTGCTTTCTTCCCGTCCTAATAACGAGAAACCCTGAGTGTCATTTCGTCTACTGACCACGCATGCTTGTCCTTCCGACAGTCTCTCAATGCCAGGCGATTCATGCCCGGTCTATTTTTCCATGTCAAGATACACCTGACGTCAAGTCAACCATTGATTTCAACATCTCGTCACCATTGCCCGTGATTGCGAGTGGGCTGCCAGTCCGTGACTCATTGGGGACGCCACTACCGAACGACAGGTCACTGTATCGCTTTCATCAGCGAGTGCCCATTCCGAGCTATCTTTTCGCTCTGGCCAGTGGGTAAGCGTGCCTGATAGACCTCAGTGTGAACTAGCTTTGTTAAGTGGATCACTAAATTGACCATCTGCAGTGATATTTCCGAGGCAGGAATTGGACCCCGAAGTATTGTTGCTAGCAGCCCCGACAAGCTCGGCGAATGCCAATGGGAGCTTGAGGCCGATACGGAGAAGTTCATCGAAGCAATCGAGGTGTGTAAGCAGTCAGAATTCAGGTGCTATTGCTTTATAACACTGGCATAGGGAATTGTCTACCCATACGCTTGGGGGAAGTACAATGTCTTGATCCTCCCACCCAGCTTCCCCTATGGAGGAATGGAGAACCCGGTGTTCACTTTCGCCACACCCAGTATTATTTCCAAGGTACATCGTTGTCGATGGATTCCAATCCGATTAATTGCCCATGGGTGCTAATCTTGACCAGGACAGGGAGAACATCGATGTCATTGCCCATGAACTTGCGCACAGCTGGAGTGGTAACCTTGTGACTAATGCTTCATGGGAGCATTTCTGGCTCAACGAGGGTTGGACCACCTACTTGGAAAGGCGGGTAAGTCGAATCGTTTCCACTTATTTTATCTACCATTTGTCGACAAAGTGTATAACCTGCCTTTTCAAATATTGATATAGATCCTCGCTGTGGTGTAAGTGCTAGAGCCTTGTGTACTTTTCACACCGGTGCTAACTATTTTAAAGTCATGGCGAGTCGTATCGACACTTCTCCGCTATCATAGGCTGGAAAGCCCTCACAGATTCTGTCGAGCATTTCGGACATGACCATGAATTCACAAAACTAGTCACGGATTTGAAAGGCAAAGACCCCGATGATGCATTCTCTAGTATTCCATATGAGAAGGGATTCAACTTTCTTTTCTATTTGGAGAATCTGATTGGAAAGCATAAATTTGACCAGTTCATCCCTCATGTATTTTGCCTGTCGCCCCAGCAAAGATATTATGCACATGTTCTGATTCCTCTCGATACAGTACTTCACAATATTCAAGGAGAAATCCTTGGATTCCTATCAATTCAAATCGACCATACTAGAATTCTTCGAGTCTGACGCGGAAGCTTCTAAGCTCTTGAACGAGCTTGATTGGGACAGATGGTTCTACGCGCCGGGCTTGCCTCCTAAGCCGGATTTTGATACTTCGCTTGTTGACGTTGTTTACAGCCTTTCAAACAAGTGGAAGGTCCTTCCTGGCTCCTCTTTCAAACCACGCCCTAGCGATATTGATGGCCTCACAGCCAACCAGATGGTTGTCTTCCTGGAGCAGGTGCTTCTTTTCGAGAGACCACTGACACCGGAGTTGTCGAGGCTTATGGGCGATGTTTATGGACTTGCAACGAGCGAAAACATAGAAGTCGCCAATCTCTATTTCCAAGTTGGCTTGAAAGCTGGTGACAGCAGTGTTATTGGACCAACCACGAAACTGCTTGGTAGGATTGGTAGGATGAAATTCGTGAGGCCTTTGTACGCAGACTACCCATTCGCAAGTAAAGGATTCGGGCGCTGATTTAATTTACAGGTATAGAAGCTTGCAGAAGGTCAATCGCCCAGTCGCTGTTGACACTTTCGAGCAGAATAAGGCCTTCTATCATCCTATATGCCGCGCCATGGTCGAGAAGGACTTGTTTGGCAAGAAAGATGCCTGATTTAAAATCGTCATCCTGTCATCCTGTCATCCTGTCATTATGCTTTGATCACTTATTGCGACCCAGGGGGCCGGATAACATCGACGAAACCATTACTTCATACTAAGCGCACATTTAGTGCAACTTTGATTTTACATTTAGAGGACCTCTGGACCGTATGTTTGTTAGACCAAGAATTGTTCGCTGAAATCGTCGGACAGAGCGGGACATGGCCAATAATTCAAGTGACCAGACCAACCCAGTGATGACGAAGAATAATTGATTAGAATACATCTACAGCCTGCCAGAAATAGGGGGTTGGAACCTGGAATGCACGGCTAACAAACCAGTCATTTCCCGTAAACCAGCTTCTTATCTGCCTGAGAGAACGAGAATATACCAGGCCGGCCTCCCTTTTCACGTCCTAACTGAAGTGCCAGATCTGGCTCATTCACGAGAGAGAGATCATGCAGCACCCGTCGCATATATGCGACAACAAGGGCAACCTTGGTCCAATCCATTTCATCGCCGTTAGGAGCGGTGTGACCGGCCTTCCACAAGTTCCTCCAGATAGCAGCGCCGAGTACAGCATCCCCCTTGATTATGCCTTCATCGTAAGCTGCCAATGCACCACGCCACTGGATGAATAGGTCCTTGAGAAATCTATTCCTGATAGCACGACTGGTCAACCCATGAAGTACATCCATGCGATGCTCGGCATTGTGCGAGAAGTGGTCGATCAAGTGTTGTGAATAAGTTTGAAGGCTTTCATGTGATGGGAGAGCACGTAGTCGGGCAGTCAATAGGTACATGTGCAGGAAAGTGACTTGTGACCATGTGGAAAATGTGGGCAAGAGCCCCAATTCTGGCGAGAATTCATCCGTCAATATGAGATGAGATTGATTCCACCGAATGTGAAAGTAAACTGACCTTTATACCACCATCCTTCGCCAACCCCAAGATCCTCTCCGGCATCAGTCTTGGGAACCTGTCCTCCTTTTTTATTTAACTGCGGTATAGTGTATTCTGCTTGGGTAGAACAGGCCTCGAAGAGCTTCTGAGTCAGTCCATACGCAACGTATGTCTCTGCAGGTGTGCCAGAGCGTGAAGCAATTGCCCGCGCTAGCTGTGATGAAGCTAGAGCACTTTGTGAGTGAAATCCAGACACTGGGTATGCGGTCTGCTCAAGCCGTTGGCTAGCGTAGCGCTTCTTCAGGACCGAGGAATTGTGAGTCACTTTTTGCGTAACACTGCTAGCGCTGCACATAGATCGATAAGAGGCTAGACATGGTCTAGATAGTCTGTTGGGAGAAAGAGCCTTACAAGATTCGGTTTAATTGGCTATGATCAGAGCGGTTCAGGGGTATTGTAAAACATACCTTGAATTTTGAATACTGCGCTAGACACAGATCCTGTGTCTGTATAGATCTTATTGCACTGAACGGCATTTTGAGGGTCTGCATGCTACTGGTATCCAAGAGGCTAAGCCTGTATCATGCGTAAAAAGTTCGAAGTTTGCTTGAGATAGAGCTCGTTGTCATCATAGCTTGGCATCTGTGTTTGCATTATTTGCACTGTCCTTGCTTTTTAGTAATCACGAACTAATAAGATAGCAGTTTAAATTCACAGAGCATTAGGGTGGGTCAAGTCGATGCAGCCTCCCATGTTCGAGTACGTACTCCGTACAGCAATTCGAACGCCACGAGTACACCATTTACCGCCAGAAAATAAGTGAACGGAAATTTTGGCTCACTCCGCTCTCCGCTGAATTATAACTTTATCTGTGGAGTCCTTGTGGATCGCTCATAGTACCTGTCAAGTCCCGCTATAACGAATTAAGAGGCAAATTCTTGGGATATAGCGCATTCCTACAACAGTCCAATAGACTTTACTATATAAAATTCGCTATATTTTTGTATCACAAAATTCGGACCAAAAAAAAACCTTTTCTATATATAGGATTATGTTAAAAGAATAAAAATAGTCTGAATAAAAGATTTAAATTGAAAAACAAATATAGAAAATAGACAGCTATTAATCAGTCAGCAGATATTGTAAAAAATAGAAAGTTACATTATTATTATTTACCTATAAATAGTAAGCAGAGGGACTATTAGCTTCTGTAGTATCTCAATCAATTAAAGAAGTCTATGCAGAGGGCGGCAGATCAGCTGAAGAGAGCAGGCGGTAAGATTGTAAACTATACAAAACCTCATTGCCTACACATGGAAGGGATACAACAAATTGATGTAGCGGAAATCCCTGTATACATAACAGATTTATACACACGCCACTATTATTTCGTTATAACGGGACCTGACAGTGTTACACCGCGCTCCAGAACTATGCCCGATAAGTAATGGCACACGTATGTGCCAATTAACCAGATGCAGCTGTAGGTGAGATGGGGGGAGCCACAGGCCAACAATTTGAAGAATCCATTATGTACAGATTGTATAGCCCAACCTGGTCTCATTTATAGAACATTTATGGAGGTTTGAGAACATGTGTCATTCCCTCGAGTATAAAGAGAAGGAGAAGAGGGTGCGGAGGGATTGAATTGGATCCGAACCCAGGCCTGTCAGTTGGCCACAAGGACAGCCCTTTCTAGACGTGTATCAACAAGGCGGAGGAATCCTGAAAGTCTGTTGGGGTCCCTCATAGCGGCTGGGACATCGTCCCTCGTTAAGGCCAGAGCCTTGAAATACTCATTAACCATATTACAGCATGCAAAGCGACGTAGCAACCTACCTGTCTCACCGTTTCATAATCACATTCTTTGGACTGATATTCTCGAATTACCTCCCCAGTACCAAACTCAACATAGATCCTTGTATCCTTGAGTCGGAACAGAACATTGTCGAGTCTCAAGAAGAAGCGGGCGAGCAACAGGAGTCTAGCCGGCATAACACGTATTTTACATGAGAACATGGAGATACCGTTGTCAGCTAGTTCGTCCTCATAAAGAACCACATCATCGTAGAACAGAATCGGATCTGGCCGCTTGAGTAGATCAGTTGGTATACGTTTGGTCGTTGCCTCAAACGGCCGACTACCAGGGCCGAGAGTTCCCGCGTAGTCCGTGCTGTAAGACCAGTCGAAGGGCTTGACAATCTCTTTGATACCCTCATGAGTCTTTTCTCTAGAAGAAGTTAGCCTCAGCGATTGCTAAAAACTTTGTGCAAGATCGCTTGGTAGGAAATGAATTCATTCGATTACCTGCTTTTTTGCCATTGCTTCGAGTAGGCGACTTGTAGCATGGATTCGCCAGATTTATCAACTAGATCCAAGGCGTCAAATGCATTGAATGCAATTTTCCATGGAGTCCCCTCATGCGCAATTTCAACATAGTTGTCGCCAAAAATCATTTCTGGGGGGGCGATCCCTAAATCCTTTGTCATCTTCTCTATGGGCTCTGCTTTTAATATCGGGAGTGTTTGAGTAGTGACCGTGAAGCCTTGGATTGCTATTGATTTCGGCCTCTGACGAAGCGGCGATATTGAGACTGAATCCGCCTCGCCGGAAGGCCTGCAACTTGAAATGTTCATCTTGTATCAAAGAAGCCTCCAGTTGGTGGTGTATGATTCGTCTGAGCAGCTATTCACTCCCCCAGACTGAAGCAGGTCATACCCCGCGGGTGTCGGAGGGAGAGGCGGACCGACGAGTTGCTGGGGCGACCGAGCATATCCTTGAAACTGATAAACATCCGTGCGACTATGGTTTCACTCAATTCCGACTTGTTTCTCAATACGATTCGGTACCAACTCTCGTCTTATCTGGTTTCCAAGACTGTGAGCTTGAGCCAGAACTTCCAACAATTCAAAGTCTGTGTCGACACTGAGCTGCTAGCTTTTTTAAACCCTCCATCGCGAAAGTCATACCTGCTTCACACTCACAAGCAAATGGCTACCAAGACACTTGAAGCGCGCCTCGAGCGTCTTTCAGTCAAAGAAGAACATGAGAGCGTGCAAAATGGCGGCGCCTATCAAAAGTCCAAGGTAGTCATATTACCTACACCTCATATTTGGTGGACGCTGCTAATGATCTTGACAGAGCACATTGTCAACAGCCATGCCCCCTACGAGTGCCGGACAATATAATGGCTCGGGCCGATCCAACTTACTCAAGCTGGCTTTACAGAACACCAATGAAAATAAAGTGAATGCAATGAACGTCAATTTGTCACCGGTTAAGAGTTCTCAGAGTACGCTATCACACCGTAATCTCGACGAGAATGGGGAGCAACGACACCTATCTCCACTCTACGACCAACCATCCCCCAAAATGTTACACTTGGGCATGTTTGAGATTGGCAAACCTTTAGGGAAGGGGAAGTTTGGTCGAGTTTATCTCGCCAAGGAGAGAGCCTCCGGCTTCGTATGCGCACTCAAGGTACTGCATAAATCCGAATTGCAGCAGGGTGGAGTGCAGAAGCAAGTCCGACGAGAGATTGAGATACAAAGCAACCTTCGTCATCCGAACGTCTTGAGGCTTTATGGCCACTTTCATGATAGCAAACGGATTTTCCTTATTCTCGAGTTTGCCGGTCGAGGAGAACTGTACAAGCATCTCCGAAAAGAACATCGATTCCCTGAGTGGAAGGCTGCGCAGTACATTGCTCAGATGGCTGCTGCTTTGAAATACCTACACAAAAAGCACGTCATGCACCGAGACATCAAGCCAGAAAATATTCTTGTTGGGATTCATGGTGAAATCAAGATCAGTGACTTTGGGTGGAGTGTTCATGCACCTAACAATCGGAGGCAGACAATGTGCGGGACACTGGATTACCTGCCCCCTGAGATGCTTAAACCCGGATCTCAGGACAATTACTACAATGAGAAGGTTGATCTGTGGAGTCTCGGTGTCTTGACATACGAGTTCCTAGTTGGGGAAGCGCCCTTTGAAGATACACCTGTCATGACGCAGCGAAGAATTGCCAGAGCCGACATGACCGTACCGTCCTTCGTGAGTCCGGAAGCAAAAGATCTAATTAAGAGAGTATGCAGAAGTCCCATATCCTAGCCGAACCCTTCTAACAACCTTTTAGTTACTTGTACTCGACCCAGAGAGGCGAATTTCTCTGGATGAGATTCAACGCCATCCATGGATTCTCAAGCATTGTGTTAAGGAAACGAAGCGGAGTTCTGGTACATCAAAGGATGTCAAAGCATGACTGTACTGTCCGGGCATTTCAGGGCGTTTCGGAGTTCAGAAGTTCTTACCTTTCTGTACTTTTCCCTTCACATTGCCATGGTCCACGACCATGGAATTGATTACACTGGCGTTTACAGTTAATATGGATGCTGGTCTTCCTGGATTAGCGATGGAGCTTTGATCGATCTTACTGGCACTTGAACTTCAAGTTAAACATACGACAAACACTTCGAGGAAGAGTTTTGGTGGGAGCGGACGTCCGTAACTAGCGATAAATCTCATCAAAGGGGCGAGTATCTCTAAAGCAACTGTCCCAAACTTCATTTACCACCTTCTCGGCGTGGGCTTCATCTTTGCATCCCGGCCGTGCCCGCACCGACAAGATCGCTCTTCGTCGTACACATTCTTGGTGCTGCTGTGTCAGTTTCCACTGACCCCTTCGGAAAAACTCTCGTGCCCATCTGCATTCCCCGCTCAGCGAGCTGGCTCGAATCTACCCACGATTAGTCATTTTTTATCTACCCGATGGCGCAGGTGGCTTGAGGGTATGGCTCTTTACCTCTGTACAAGCAGCGTGCCTAAGATTATTTGACCAGTCGACTTTGAACCTGAGGTGATCATAGGCATGGACCATCTCATGTGCTAATGTATCTTCTAAGTGGCTCTGGTCCTTCATTTCATTTGCGCAAAGCAGAATACCGTAGTCAGGATCAAATCCCCCTGCCTTTCGACTGGTACATCGGCGACAGTAGATATTATGACTGGAAAGATTACCACCTAGCTGGCGGATGCTGTCGCTCATGAATCGGATCACCGGACCTTTAAGTGAATTCAATCAGCGGGCTGTGTACAACATTGAACTCATGTGTCTTCATTGCAGGCTGACAGGCAGATATGAATGTGACTCACTGAATTGCAATAGATAGTCTCGCTGATCCTCACAGCGCTTGCAGTCCCCAGCTTCATTCCGCGTGTCACGCGCAATGCGGAATTGTTCTTTGCCCTCATCGGTCATTCTATCGGTCAGGATAGCGAAGATATTGCGCCATTGCGTCCAGGTATCGTCACCAGGAATGAAGCCACTGTTTTTAGAGGTTTCATTCTTTGATGAGGTATCATTTGCCCGAGAGTCCGTCATCATGTATAAGCACTGGAGGAGGAATATAACCTAGATATCCTCCTTCTATTCAAGAATCGCTTGTCCTTGTATGCTCTCGACAATTGATTCCGCGGCAAGCTCCGTGGAGTAAATGGGCGGTGGGAGCTGGCAGAAAAAGGGTGTCTTGGTAGGTGGGTTATTGCAGCTGACTCACAGCAACAATCAAAGCCCAAGTTGACAGCCAACTTCCGATGCCCCACAGTAGCACTGTGCAACAATCATGTTTGGGAGCTGATCATTCAATAATTTGAGTCTCAAATCACAATGGCTCTTAAGCGTCTGACCATTGTCATCAAGCTAGGTGCGGATTATGCAATGATTGACCGAAGGCAAAAACTAACAAGAACTTGCTGCGCAGGAACCAGTTCCATAGTAGACGAGAACACCCATGAACCTATATTGTCCATCCTTACGCTCATAGTCGAAACAGTTGCCAAGCTTCACAGAGAGGGTCATAATGTTGTTCTTGTTTCGTCTGGCGCTGTTGGTGTGGGGTTGCGAAGAATGGATGTGGAAGAGAGACCTAAACACTTACCTCGGATACAGGTATACAATACGGAATTGATTTGTGCAGGCGTTAGATTCGCAAGTACTGACCATGTTGTTCTAGGCATTGGCTGCCGTTGGCCAGTGTAGGCTGATGAGTCTTTGGGATGGTCTGTTTGCGCACCTGCGTCTCCCAGTAGCGCAAATCCTGTTAACTAGGAACGATATTGCCGATGTAAGCATCGTTGTGAACTAACGAGAATGTTCATTATCCCTAACAAGATAATAGAGAACACAATACATCAATGCTCAAAATACCTTCTCGCAGCTATTTGATATGGGTGTAATCCCGATTGTCAATGAGAACGACACTTTGGCTGTTTCCGTAGGTTGACCCTTTGTCCCCACCTATTGCGTCGCGGAATGTCATACTGAGTTTACCAGGAAATCAAATTTGGTGACAACGATACACTATCAGCGATCACAGCAGCGATGGTCAAGGCCGATTACCTCTTCCTGATGACAGATGTTGATTGTCTCTACACTGCTAATCCCCGTACAAATCCCGACGCGCGCCCAATTGAAGTTGTCACAGATATTTCAACCTTAGAAGCAGATGTTTCATCGGCTGGATCATCTCTAGGTACCGGTGGTATGGGTACCAAGATCATCGCTGCAAAGCTTGGAACTAGTGCTGGCGTAACGACTATCATCACCAAGAGTTCGAAGCCCGGAAATGTGCATGATATTGTCAATTATCTCCAACAGCAGAGTCGAAGGCCTATTGTACCAGATGCAGTGGCCGAACCAGTCGAGAGCTTTGAGGTATCAAGCAGCTCTCGGGCTTCGCCTCCGCTACACACGCGATTCATTCCATCAGAGAATCCAATACAATCCCGATCATTTTGGCTTCTTCACGGAATGAAGCCCAGGGGTACAGTCTATATAGACCACGGTGCATATAGTGCTATTCAGAAAAAGGCCAGCCTGCTCCCTGCCGGTGTAATTGGGGTGGAAGGTCACTTCTCTCAACAAGAAGTGGTAAGGTTAGTCGTGATTGGGAAAGTTTCTCCCGACTCTCTCGATGGTGATTTCCTTCATCATGGACAAGAGCCCAAGGAAGTTGGACGTGCCTTGGTCAATTATGGCAGTATCGAGATTGAGCGCGTTAAGGGCCACAGGAGCACACAAATCCATACGCTACTTGGGTATGCCGATAGTGAATATGTGGCGCTCCGTGAGAATATCGCCTTTCTGCAAACCGATGACAGCTCAGGTCGATAGATCCCACCAGAGTCTCAAGCTAGGTGCTGATACTGAGTTTGTTGATCACATTTTTCGAACACTTGAAAGACCTATTCGGCAGGCTTCTAGCCTTTCCTCCCCCTCTCCTATTCTAAGTCGCAATACAGCTGCGCCGAAAGGCTCAGTTAGACTGAAGATTATGGTGCTACCATTCCTGGCTAAGATTACCTAGTTTTCATTAATTGACAGTAGCTTATGATGGGATCTCGCAAGGATATATATCATGATCAAGTAGGTCTTTCTTGATTCTGAATCCATTACAGTGATCAAACGACCATCCATCATTATGATAACATGGGTAATCTCCGGTCAATTTTAGGAGCTTTGAAAACCGGTAGCCCGGGAGAGTGCACGAGACGTGCTCAGTAATGATCCGCCTAGCGGTTGAGAGACATGAGCAGTATGATAGGGATATCAACGTTTATTGAGATGGTGCTGAATGTTGTTACGAGACTCCAAACCTAATCTTTCCATCTTTCTAAGAATCGCCTCATTTGTGCGTCGTGCGAATGTGGTGCGGGAGAGGCCTGTACAGGATCCCGTTAGCTCAATCTTCGAGGTCACATCACAGTTGAGAGGACATCTGCCGGGGCAAGCAACAACTCAAACATACAGTATTCTCAATACTGGCCACGGAGTATGTCACAGAGGCGGAGAGGGTGACCTGAGCGGTTGCTGGGGGAAGATAGGTTGTGGCGATGGTATATGCGCTTGCTGGAAACTGGGGAGTCGGCACTTTGGCTGGAATCGTGCTTGCAGGCTTCTTGGCCATTGGCGCATATCTGGTAGGCCCGGTCTGCAACTGATATGGGACTGTAAAAACCTCTTCTACTTGTCTCTTTCGTAGTTCATGATGTCTGGACATTTCACAATCCGAAAGTGCAGAGTTGTTAATTGTGGGAGGCAAGCTGTGCAAGACGGATGTTGAGACAGGACTGGTCATATTAGTGATAGTGAACTGTCCAGAAACATTAATGACGGAGGCACCCGCGCCCCAAGAGACCATTTTTAAAAAGCTGTCAGTGATGCCAGAGTTAGCGATGGGCTGCTCATTATGACTTGATGGTATGGTGTGGCACAGCAGATGCACACTGCCATATTCCCCTTACTATGTATTTGCACCATTGTCCCTTATGCTGCGGTCGAGCGTGAAGGATAGTGAGTTACCCCTCGCAAAGAGGTTACCTCTCGAAAGCAGAGCTACATCTTCCTGCAGCATCCGCAATGGTCAGTAGGCTTCCGATAGAAACATAAACTATATGTAGGGACAGGAGCCCCACATAAGTGCCCGCTACCTGCCCGCCGGCGCAGAGATAGAGATCATAGTATAGGAGGTCAGAGATCAGGGGATGCCTGCTTGATTCCCTCCACTGGGCCGTAAGAACGTCCCCGATTCGTAGGATGGCACCGGGTTGTGGAATCATAAACTCCACATCCGCGAGTGCTTGTGGAAACAACGCAGCGAGAAGGAACAATATTAGGTGCCTGATCATCATATTGTGAAAAGATAGAGAGAGAGAGAGAGAGAGAGTTTGGAAACAAACACAAGAAGAGCCTGCGAGTTCACTTGTGGCATTTACTTGCAAGACAGAGAGATTTAACAGAGTAAACTGATGAGTTGACGCCTTGTGTTGCCCCTGCAATCGACGGCATGCTGGCCCCCTCCATAGCATTTGCACCTGGCTGGCAGCAAGGGACGCGGCCCCGAAAGGGAACAGTGCACGTAGCGGGATCATGGCCGTCAGGTATTAACATCCTATTAATACTCTGCATGATTAGACTTCATACACTAACCCCATTCCTGATGAACTTTTCAATGAAGGTGGTATAATAATACCCCTTAGATACTGATAGGTACCTGCCTGGTCGTCACTCCCTTCCCCAGGAAAACCACTAAGCTTACCTCCATCCAGCCTTGATCTTGCTACGTACCTTACTGCCAGGGTAGGTACATTAGAGACTATGGAACGGTGGTTGAAAACTGAGCCTTTCGGTTGAAGGCGGTTTTAGCGTCGGTTGTGAAAGGCCCACTCCAGTCGAGTTAATCTTATCCATCTAGCTACGTATGTTCCAATGGCTCACTCGTACTCTCCGCCCTGCTCCTCCTCTTCCTGCTCTCAACCACTGCACTCCTCCTTTGTCACGGCGCTAATCATCTTGCTCAACGGCCTAGAAAGACCTCTATCTCACGGGCGCATCCAATCAAAATGCGTTCGCACGGGGACTGGGTTTCGTTAGAAGGCATAGCTACTAGCTTGCTCGACGGCAGCCCTATCGCGATTGCTATTACGGTCTTCATCGCGTTCGGACTGCCCGTCCTATTGCATCTTCTCTTTTACCGAACGGTTGCATCTCCGCCGTCTAGCAATTTCTTGCTCTTGGGCCCTAATGGAGCTGGGAAGACCGCTCTCTTGACTCTGGTCTGACTTCCCTTGAAGGCTCTTTCTCTCGCTCTCCCACGTCTAGCTGACACACTCCTCATGAGTAACAGCTCGAAGCAAAGTCGTCTCCTGCTCGTACAGATATTCGAGTCACTCATACGTCCCAAACATCTACTGCAGCTACCATCAGCCTTCCCGCCTCGGTGCCGACCGCATCAAATCGCTACAGATCGGTGAATGATACTTCGTTGAAGGATATTGCCAAGAACCCGGTCAAATATCGGTTGATGGACACTCCTGGTCATGGAAAACTCCGCGAATCCCAAGCTATCTCGCAGTTGCTCTCCATGTCGGCCTCAAAGGATGCCAAGTCGAAGTTGCGTGGTGTCTTGTACATGGTGGACACTGCAGTACTTGCCAACCCCGAAACCCTACGGGATACAGCCAATTACTTGTACGATGTGCTCTTGATCCTTCAGAGACGTGCTTTGAATAGGGGAAAGAAAGCAGCATCTGAAGTTCCTGTGCTTGTGGCTGCCAACAAACAAGACCTCTTCACCGCCCTACCGCCTGGATCCGTGCGGGAGAAATTGGAGGATGAGATTAGTAAACTCCGGAACTCTCGCAGCAAAGATCTTCTGGATGCTAGTGTTGACGCTGGCATTGCCGATGACGAAGACGATATTCTAGGCAGCAGCAACCCCCATGATAGATTCTCGTTCCAGTCTTTGAAAGACGAAGTTGGTATAGTAGTAGACATTGTCGGAGGAGCAGTCATGGGCGATGAAGAGAGCAATCTTGGATCTGGTGTGCGCAAATGGGAGGAATGGATAGGTCAATGCCTGTAAGGTATACGCTCACGGCTGACGGAGTGCGAGGTCTATCATTGCCGGCGAGATCTCGTCAACCCCAGAAGTCACATGAGCCAATGGGCATACTTGCCAATATACTGGGCAAAGAGATGGGAAGAACAGAGCAATGAAGGAACTACCTCAGTGATCATATGTGTATGCTTTGGTGAAGGGATTGTAGACTCACTCGGAGCAAGCATCATCCTTAACACACCTCATATATTGTGTGACTTAATGATTGGCTCATAGAGTATGGTGGATTTAAACAAGCCTACTTCACGACACAAGGGATACAACACCTCAGTGGCAACAAGGATCTAGGCATATTCTGGTTTTGCTTGGCTAATGGTGGCTAGACTACACCTTAATTAGCAAAGGATCATCTGCGGAAACAAGCTTGCAATCAGGACTGGTGACGGTTAGTTTTTCCTGACTCAAACATCATCTCAACGTTGTTGGCCCTGGAACGATGTTCAAAACCCTGGGTTTCTTAGCCAGAAAACATTCAAGATTGACAGTGTTATCATGATCACAAATAAGAGTATCCAGCTGTAGCGTGCCAGCTGCAGTACTTGAGGGCTTTACAGCAACGATTGGTGCCAGAGGACCCTCTGACATCTTAAACAGGTACTAGCTGTACGATCCGACTACTTTCAAGATTCGATTCAATCCCACTGAGATGGCGGTAGATTTCACTAATAGTCAACTTGCCAGAAAAGATTTGCCGTCACTGAAACAGTCTTCTCATTAAAAAATTGTGCTGAGCGGCCAGATTTCTCTGTGTGAGTTGAACCGGCAGTTTATCAATCTAAAATGCCATCGCAACAAAGAGTGCACATCATAGTGCCAGCATTGTAAGGCTCTTTAAGAGCTCTACCAAGTTGCATCCCGTAGAAGAAGATTGCAACAACTGGCAATCGCTGATGCGGTTAATTGTAGTTCTGACTCTGGCGATAATGCCAACCTTATACAACCCAATAGCATGTGAAATCAAATCTAGAAAAGAGAATAAAAACAGTCATGTTCGTTTCTCAACCTGAAACTATCTCCATAGACTCCACCATATACTCCACAACACCCCGTTCTTCATTAAGGATATAACAGCGTAGCGGCCGATGGTGCTGGCAGGCCCGGGCTTATTAGCAAAAAGGAGGACGTAGCCCAGACGGGATCGCGCCCCAAAACAGACAGTATGCGAGAAGACTGTTTCTATTGAGACTCTGAGGCGCCATCCTCGTTGTGACGAAGCATCCAGCTTAACAGGTCGACTTTCGTGGCAACTGCGACTGGCTTCATCGCTCCGTTCTCGCCTCTCTCGGTGACAACGGCTGCACTGTTCCATTCCAGGAATCGGTTTAACACACTGAGGGGCGTTTCCATGGTGATCTCAACAAATTTCCGATTCTTGATCTGAGATGTCTGTTGGGCGTCCTGGGGCTTCGACATGCCCATATCTCTGGGATCCGTGACGACTTCAGGTATTTTGCTGAAGTCGAACATGACATCCGCCACAGGGCTCTTGCCTGTAGCACGTCCGTGGGTAAGCCGACTTAGAATGTTGCCCAAGGTGAGAAGCCCAACAAGCTTCTTCCCAGAGGCTGCCAAAACAGGAAGTTGATCGAAGCCTCTGTCACGCATCATCTCAATGGCGGTTTCGCATGGAATGTTCGACCGAACCGTGGTAATCGGTTTGAGTCTCAGAGCTTTGACCTTTGAGCCGGAAAATGCATTTTGTTGTCCTTGAGGCTTCAGCGTTGGAGACAAAGATGCTGGGGCAGTGGCGGGAGCTGTCAATAGCCCGTTCGCAGCAAGCCAGTCATCATCCGCAAACTGTAATCAATTAGAACAACGGCCACCTTGTATGGGAAATAGTAAAATACCTTGGTAAGGTAGCTTCTTATGCTGTCCGGTAAGACTACAACTACCACATCATCCTTGCCGAATCTCTGGTCTTTGGCGGCCTGAACCAAAGCCGCAATGGCACTACCACTACTTCCGCCAACAAGAAGCCCTTCCTCTGCAATTAGGCGACGAGCGTACTGGAAAGACTCCTTATCAGCAGTTTTGTACCACTTATCAACGAGTTTCTGATCCAAGACTTCGGGAATAAAGTCGTAGCCGATTCCTTCCACTTTGTAGGGCTCATTAAGATGCTCCTGATTCAATGTAGCAGGGAGAGCCAAGATCGAACCATGAGGGTCAGCAGCTATGACCTGAACACGGGGATTATGCTTTTTTAAGCCACGAGCTAGACCGGTGATAGTTCCGCCGGTTCCTGCACCGGCAACGATAGCCGTGATCTGTCCTTGCGTCTGGGTCCAGATTTCCTCAGCTGTCCCTAGCTCATGTGCCAACGGATTGTTCACGTTGCCATATTGATCCAATATATGCGCGTTTGGAAGCTCATTCTCAAGGCGCTTCGCCACACCGATGTGAGATTCGGGAGAGTCGAAAGCAGCTTCGTTGGGTGTACGAATGATGGTGGCATTCAAGGCTCGCAGTACAGCGACCTTTTCAGCAGACATCTTTTCGGGGAGAGTGATGATTGTCTTGTAGCCTTATACAAAAGGCAGCAGAAGGGTTAGACATTGGCAACCTGAGACTTGGGGTCAAATGATCCGAGCAAGACGACTCGACTCACCTTTGACAGCGGCGACAAGAGCAAGACCAATGCCACTAAAAAGCAAATGTTAATTCAGCTCCTGCTTTCCGGAGAGACAAGCGTAGCGAAGGCCTGAGGTTACGTACGTGTTTCCACTAGTAGGCTCAATTAAAGTATCACCGGGCTTGATGCGCCCCGACCGCTCTGCTTCTTCAATCATGCGCAAAGCAATCCTGTCCTTCACGCTTCCCCCTGCGTTGAAAAATTCCAATTTCGCATACACCGTGGCCTCGATGCCCAAGCTGCGCGGTATTCTATTCAGCCGTACTAGAGGCGTATTACCAATGTGTTGAGTGATGGTCTCGAGGGCCACCGGAGGGACGGCGGGAGCGGTTATAGACGACATAGCTGATGATTGAGGGAGGAAAGCGCCGACTGCGGATAATGCGAGAGGGGAACGGTAAGAAGATATTGAGGGATAAAGATTGAGAAGCAACCGAAGTTATAAAGTAGATGGAATTTTGTACCCTGGGATAAGTGTAAACACACACAAAGACAAAAAGACGGAGAATGCGAAAAGTAGTAAAAACGAGGGGAATGGGAAGGAATAACTACTGAGGCAATGAGAAAATCTGGATAAAAATCTCGTAATCTCTTCCCCCTCCTCCCCATCGTCCGACGGTAGCCGTAGCCGTCGGCTGGGCTGGGACAATGCTCTCAGACATTCATTTCCAGCTCAACTTATTATGGAGAAGAGCACTTCAGAACCTGGAGCCTGCGCTCAGCTAATTTCCTCGAGGTCAGCTCAGGCTTATCATGGGCTGTTTAACACGATGAGTACGGAGTACTCGATGCTCATTACTCCGTACTTAACTACATGTTCTGTACCCCGTACTATGTACGGAGTATATACTGTACTGTTCGGATACGGGATGAGTCTGGGCACCTGCTACAGACTCCCTGCTGCTGTGGCTGTGTTCATCTTGGCGGCGGGCACCGCTGGGTTACAGTACAAGTGTACTGTACCTTGCAAGGTGCCTTTACTCCAACCAAGTTTGAGTATGCTTAAAGGTCCGCTTTAAGGTTAACCTGTTCGGCTGCAATACTTTAGCAATGCTCTCGGGCAAAAAAAAAAGAAAAAAAAAAGAAAAAAAAAAGAAAAAAAAGGGTCAATGATCACGGCTATTCATGGAACTCTCATCGGCGCCTAACTAACCTGATTAACTTGTGTAGGCACGATTAATCAACTAACATTACAGGGTATTTGAAATTTGGTTCGGCTACTCAGCTGGTGCTGACTGTCTGAGCTCGATATAGAAGGCTGGACTCCATGCTACAGGAGTAACTTAGTTAACCTATGTTACTACTATTTATGAAGTAAGTTACTCCGTACTGTACAGTACTATCCAGCCGCGTGGGACCAGGATAGAACTAGACTTCATACGGAGTACTATGTGCGATCGACCTTTCGCCAGCTGCCAACACATTTGCCAAGACCCTTGACCTTGAGGTCTCAAATCTTCATTTCCTTTATATATATATGCGCGGGCTTCTAGCCCATCATGCCTCAGTCTCGACGATTACCTGCATATCTTCTTTGAGGATTACTTCCCTCTTTGCCTCCTCTTTACCTCCTCTTTACCTTGGCTTCTGATGTCCATGATCATGTCATCTCTTGTTTGTCAGTAATAAGACGTGCGAGCCTAGTTCTTCGACCCCCCACCCTTTTACCATAACCCAGAACAGAAAATTTCAGCAAGCGGTTGGTGAATCTCGATCAAGGGCGTTTGTGTGCACAGCCCTCACGATTTACGCGTTTTACAGCAACATGAGCCAGCGTTCGCAATCCGGGCGACAGGAAGGTCTTCAAGGTGCCCTCGGGGTCTTATCGCCAGATCCTATGCACGTGGCTGACGGGTCGCAAGACAATACAGTGCTTCCCACGCATAATAAACAAGCCCGTAAACGACACCATGGATTGTTTCGCATCGATGCTGCGGGAGAAAGCGGCCGAACTGGTATTCACCCCGTTCACTTCCTGCGGGTCTGTTTGCGGAGCACGTGTACTTTGTCCATGCTGGTCAACGTGCTCTGGCCATTTGTCCCAGCTGCTATCGCCATCCATTTTGCACGGCCAGACTTACATGTTTGGGTGTTCGCTCTCAATTATATAGCTATGGTACCCTCCGCTAATCTACTCGGGTTTGCGGGGGGGGAGCTTGCAAAGAAGCTGCCCAAAGTGTTTGGCGTCCTTCTGGAGACAACGCTAAGCTCTGTGGTGGAAATTGTTCTCTTCATGGTTCTGATCCATAACGATAGAAACGGCGACCTCATCCCAGTCATTCAGGCTGCGATTCTGGGTTCCGTGCTGGCAAATCTCTTACTCTGCTTGGGTCTTTGTTTCTTTTTTGGTGGTATTACACGGGAGGAGCAGTCATTTCATGAAGCCGTGAGTGAAGTAGGATCCGGGCTGTTGCTGGTAGCAGGCTTCGGTCTGTTGATTCCCAGTGCCTTCTACTCCGCTTTGAGTAGCAGTTCAACACATACACAGATTACACCAGCACAACTAAACCAGTCTACCTTGATCATCAGTCGAGCCACCGCCGTGATCCTCCTGGTCGCGTTCCTGATGTAGGTGGATGCCTGCAATAGCACTTATTTCTGTAGCATCATGCTAACCGGTTCAGGTATCTATTCTACAATCTTCACAGTCACCACAGCATTTTTGACGAAGTCCTCGAGTTCGACGAGCATCAGGATGAGGACAGGGAAAAGGAATTGAAGCGTGCAAAGCTCACTCTAGTCGAATGCTTCATCGCTATTGCGACATCCCTCGCTTGTGTCTGTATGTCAGCAGTCTTCTTGGTAGAAGAAATCGAGCATATTGTCGATAGAGGGGTGTCCGACAATTTTGTTGGCCTTATCCTTGTGCCTTTGGTCGAAAAGGCGGCAGAGCATTTAACTGCAATTGATGAAGCTTGGTAAGTGAATCTTTTGGATGGCCCCCGACCACGCACTGCAGCAGCTTTTCGTTTGCCGGTCTCTGCTGACTATCTGTCCAGGGATAATCAGATCAACTTCGCTCTCTTCCACTGCCTGGGGCCATCTATTCAGACGGCTCTGCTGAATGCGCCTTTGGCAGTGATCGTTGGGTGGGGTCTAGGGAAAGACTTGGGCCTGAACTTCGAGATCTTCATGATTGTTCTGGTAGTGTTGTCTATTCTGGTTGTCGGAAATTTCCTCCGTGACGGTAAATCAAATTACCTTGAAGGGGGTCTGTGTGTTTTGGTATACGTGATTATAGCCGTGAGCACATGGTATTACCCCCAGATTGAGCCGCAAGGTGGGTCAGATGCATGATTGGTGTAGCTATTGAGGGGGCGTTTCGTGTTATGTCCATACTGGAGGTGAAGGTCGATTGCAGCAGAACTTATTCGACATCAACTTTGTGCAAGTAAGTTCCTTTACTAGACGGTATCTCTTGAGGGAAAGTTTATTCCTAGGTGTAATTTTCAGTAACGATTTCGAAATCCGTTCTTGGTTTTCTTTTTTCATCTGGCTTGTACGTAGCCACTTCTTTTACAGCAGGTAGTATGTTGTATGTTGGATGGTGGGGAAGAATGGGAATTTGCTTGGCCACCCTCAAAATGATGTGCCGAGGCTTCCCATTGTTGACCGATGCTTCCTATTTCTAGGCCGTGTGCGGCTGACTTGCAGAGCCAGCGTACCGATGTTCGACCCAGTCAATCCAATGGAGTCAACACCTCTTGTCATCAATACTTTCAGGGAGCGCAATCTCCCGATCGATCGAAATAAGGTCTTGTCAGTCTTCAGTAATGCGGCAGGCGCTGCAGCTCATGCCAAGTGGGTGACGGAGCATATCACCAGCGAGTTACTATTGTCACAAGAAGAGTTTACATTGTACCCACCACGCCCTGCGTACATGATCAAAATCCACCTTTGATTAACTAACCCCTGCTTCTTCTTGAGCCTGCAGACATTCTGCTCTCGAGGAATCGAATGTCCTGAGCAAACTACTCAATAATCGAAGTACGCGCACAACTCGGCCAATTCTCGAAGAAGAACTTCAGCAAGCGATCGATTCACTTAACGCTTCTACGACCGCAATCCTACGGCAGAAGAAGATATTCTCTTCAATATGCGAAACTATGAACAGACAGCTTCATCAGAAGGAAAAAAGAGAGCTCGGGTTCAAGAGGGATGCAGAAAGATTGCGTTTGAAGACTCTATCCGGGAGGCAGACTGCTACAGCCGTAGTAAGTCACTTGAGGGGTGAATCGAAATCCGGAGCTACTTGCTTATAGTCTGTTCAGTTTCTTGAAACCTCTCTTGAGCTGGAACTCGACGTCAAATCGGAATTGGAGAAGGTAGCAACAGAAGGGAGAGAATTACTCTCTTCTCTGACTACTCGATTGAAGGACGATGAAAAAACCCTCGCACACCTTGAAAGAGTTGCCCACGGGCTTGAGTATGTTGGGAACGATGTTTCTATTTCCAGGCAGGCTACGGATCTGGGTGTACATCATGCTCAGTATGTCGCAGGAAAGATACGGCACCGTCTTGACCGCCTATACTTGGAAACTGTACAGAAGGTCCATGGGGTGATGCAGGACAAGACAACACAGGCAGACTCTGATGTATCGGAAGCCCTCGAAGAAGAGCTGGGGTCATTGTACTCTGAGATTGGCATCCTCGCAGAATTGTCTACTAGACAGCAACTTGTCGATCCCATACATCGCGAAATGCAATCGCACCACGGTGCGCTATGTGCATCCTCGAATCAGAAACTGCACCTTGTAGGTCACTCGTCGAAAAATTTGGCTCAATTGCTGATTATCTTTGCAGCTCGGAGGCATTCTTTCGCAGATGGTATTGACAACGAGAGAGTGTACCAAAGGATTACAGGAGCAGGATTCGTCTTGCGGGACACTTGAAGCCTTTACTGCTGCATATAAGACTGAAATAGGCGAGCTGCTTCTGGTCTCATCTGCTCCAAAGCTGAGGACATTGAAGACCCAAGTCGCACTGGCAGCGTCTCTAAATATTCCTTCAAGAAGCCATCGTGTCCCGCTCTCCGAGGTCCAAGCTCTCGCAGGTCTGATACGCAGAATGGGCTTAACCCTGGACAACCTATCACTCGAAGCAAGAGGTGGGCCCTTGAAATGTTTGCAGGAAAAGAGACGCAATCTCGTAGAGTCTTCGAAAGGTTATGGCTTGGCTGCAGATTCGCCACTGAAAGCGGCTTTGTTTCCTACCGATTCGGCAATCCAATTTCTTCTGCCTCGACTCCAAACCAGTTCGGGTTCCAAGGCGTCACTCTCCAATATTGACCATAAGCTCCTGATTTCTGAACTTGAAGCTGAACTAGAACGTATTCAGGAAAGGGTGAAGAGACTGAAGCCTGATAGGCTTTCTGAACGCGATTCATGCCTGCAAAATTTCTTGAAGAGATGGGAAGGACAGGTATCTCATATCTAAGACATGAATATGATGCAAAATTTGATAAAGAACTTCGGTCTTGCACATGTACGAGTCTCAGTGAACTGTCCATGAGCGACTGAAGCTCCAAATTAGTATGACGGCTAGTGTCACTCTCGTGGCTCTCTTCATAATCCCCGAGCTCGACAATCGATAAGCGAAAGAAAATGGAGACCCATGGTTATCAAAATTATTTGCATCGCAGAGATTGTATAATTGTCGCACTACTCAATATCCTCTTTCTGCGAGTCCCGAGCCATCTGGGGTGAACTAAATATAAGATTAGACCATCCGTCCCTACGAGATGTTCGGCGATTGAAGTGGAAGGGGTTGGGTGCACGAAACCGGACGAACTAATGTCCGGTCCATTCTCATATTGAGCAAGTCTGCCAGATTCAGCATTTGTTTATGTTTTGGATGGATTGCCGCGCAAAGAGGACGCTTGATTCATATTTACTCGGCTTCGATTTGACTTTTCAAGCCGTCGTTGACTATTCCAATTACATGCAGGTACCGTGAAATGGCCCTTTCACCATAATCAATCAGAAGTTGACCGAGGCATCGACCGCGCCTGCAGCAGTTAACATATGTTCCTCAACGGTGCAACTGACGGGACGACTCGCCTTTTCCTTGACACAATCCCGTCATACCTCTCTTGCTTCCAAACATAATCTATACTTGGGTCAACAATCATTCGATGTGGTTCGACTAGTATATTTATTCGCTGGACTCAGTCATACCATGCCATCCCTATTAGAGAAGTTAATCTTCGCCTGTAGGTTCAAGGCCGCTCTACAAACTACCACGCTTGTTTCTGCCTTTCTCTGCAGCACTTCACAATGAATCATCCAAGAAGTGAATCTGAAGTGGTTCAAATTCTACCTGCTGTTACAACCTTAGCAGAGATCTCCGATCGGTGTGTTCTACACGCTGGCACTGGGCACGACTCGAAGGCTTGGCTTGTAGCCGATGTTTTCCAAATCTCTCCGAGCACTGCGCTGAGGTTATTGTGCTCCAGCATCGAGGTCCTCTTGAAATCATCCTCGGAAGATCCACAATTATCTCAAATACACGCCGCGCCTCCCGGTGTTCGGACACCCGGTGACAACATCTCTAGTGGCGAGACCACGCCCATTAGAGCCTCCGAATTGCATTGCTTTCCAGCCAATGACGAAAAACTGGGGCACGACCTTGTTCAACAAAGCGTGCTTTCCAAGAGGTTTCTGTCGAAGCGGGTACCACCGATCACTCTGAAAGATTACCTTCTACGGCTTCACCAATATTGCCCCATGTCCACAGGCGTTTATCTGGCTACGAGCATGTATATCACCAGAATGGTTAATACTGAGAAAGTGATACAGGTAAATGGAAGGAATATGCACCGTCTAGTTCTTGCTGGGCTTCGAGTTGCAATGAAAACTTTGGAAGACCTAAGTTATCCACACAGCCGGGTTGCTAAGGTTGGCGGAGTGACCGAACGTGAGCTGTCGAAACTCGAAGTCAGTTTCTGTTTCTTGGCAGATTTCGATCTACGGGTTGATGCGCACATGTTATTCGAGCAGGCAAGGCTACTTCAGGCCGGGCTGGATCTTACGGGCGACAATTCCCCCGAAGCAGTTGAGGGCTTCTCATGCCAAGAGTGAGGGCATGTTGACTGCTTTCCTTGCTATGACTTACGCTGTGCTTGTCAGGAAAGAACGACGTACGTTTGCTCAGCATCTCGGAGGATGGTTTTGCATATCATTATTATTCTTTCTCTTTTTTTGTTTCTTTCTTTTTTTGGAATTGATACCCAGTGATGATGGTTTATGATATTTCTTGACTGGTAACCTCCACCGACTGTTGGGTGCGACCTTCGATCGAAAAGCTCAGTGGGGATGAATAGTCGATTCTATTGGAGGCGATGGCATGGGAAAACAACAAAAACTTTACTTTGATCGCAACCTTGAATGCGGCTGCCTAGCCTGACCACAATTCGATTAATTGGTTGGCTAACTGTTTATTTAGTCACTTAGTCGATTAACTAAGTTACCTAGTTAGTAGGTAGTTAGTTAGTGATTTGCTTAGTCAAAAGCTGAGGACGGCAAGCAGAGAATCTTGGATAGCGACATCGTACATATGCTATTTGCAAACAGCGACATGTTGTTTGAATTTTTACTGTCTCGTTAGATTAATGTGGAAGCATTGACTTTGAATTTGCCCAATGTCGAGAACAATGTCGAGGAATTCACCATGTTCAACATGGTGGAGAGAACTCCCAAATGCTATCCAACCACTTAGAACCATAACTATTATTAATGAGTGGCTGAGTAACCACTCCGTACCTAACTTAGCCATCGTCCCTATAGATGGCCCCAGGCCCCCAGGCCCCCAGGCAGTTAGTTGGTCAGCCCAGCCCCCAGCCCAACCGCGCGCGCATCTTCCACCTTGTGACTCCGCCATACAACAAATAGAGGTGTTCTTTCCAGGCCCCGTTCGTCCGGTTGCTTTTTTCTCCATTATTGCTTCTGATATTTTTTCTGCATTATCATCGCCTTCAGAGGCAGCCATTGAGACTTGGAAGGCACGTTCGTGTTGTTGACCTCTTCTTTTCTCAATAAATCACCTGTGACTGGATCTCCGCTATGCGTCATTAGATGTGTCGAGAGTACTTTCCCAGCTAGTCAATCTTCAGAAACAACCTTACCCCCTCCGTTCCGCAAACTGTCCTGCCATTCTCTATCTTCTTCCGCCGTAATTCAAGGGCTGTTGCTTCATCTTGCAACTGCAGAAATCGTGTTGCATTCGAAATGGCGTCAGGGACTTCCTCGACTGGACCGCAGAATAACCGCGACTCTGCGGGACTGGGCCGTCCACCGTCCTTGCCCAGCGGCAAGAGCAGTGCCTCCCCTCCAAAAGTGGCCCAGCATGAGGCAACCGTCGAACTCCAGAGTATGAAGACGGAGCGGAGCAATATAAAGGGTGCGATTCGACTCGGCGAGGACATTATGCAGATTGCTCGCATCGGAGAGATCTCAGTCATGCAGAAATTATTCGATGAGAAAAAATTCACAGCTGACTACAAGGATGAGGAAGGAATCACCCCATTACATGTATGTTCTATATTGCTCAAGAATGCGGCACAAATTCCATGTCGTGCAGTTCCTACCGCCTAGTCCTCATTGCGTCATAAATTGCTGACCGACACTGTGTCTTTTCACTTCAGTGGGCTGCTATAAACAATCAATATGCTATGTGCAAATTCCTTCTTGATTCTGGTGCCGATGTTGATGCCAAGGGGGGAGAATCGGTGGCTACTCCGGCTATGTGGGCAGCGCAACGTTGCCACTATTATATCGTACACCTCTTACTACAGCATGGCGCAGATCCTCTTCTTACCGATGTCCAAGGCTACAATATTCTACATCTTGCCACGATTGATGGAAATGCATTCCTGCTTGTGCTTCTTTTACACCAAGAAATACCGGTGGATGTTCCCGACCAACAAGGCCACACAGGTCTAATGTGGGCGGCGTATAAAGGTTACCCTGCATGTGTGGATATCTACTTGCGTTGGGGTGCCAACGCCAATGCGGTTGATGATGGCGGTCTAACCCCTCTCCATTGGGCCTTGGTCAAGGGATCTCTTCCTTGCGTCCATAAGCTCATAGAATATGGTGCAGATAGGTTCGCAAAAACCAGAGATGGTAAAACGCCAGCAACCGTAGCGAGTGAGATGAATACGACCCGGATATGGTATCGCGCTCTAGACGAATGTGGTCATGACTTCGACGGAAACACCAAAATCCTGCCTATGGGCCTGACGCCCTGGGTGCGGAGTAAGAACGCCATGTCGAGGTTCTTCTTCCTGTGGCCTTTCTTTATGATATTTGCAGCTGTCTGGATTCTCAGCAATGTGGTTGTGTTTTTCGCTATCCCGCTCATGCTGCTTACGGTCTATGGTCTTCAATGGATGGCTCAAAAAGTCGCTAATCAAGGCCCTTCAGAGTATCGAATCCTCCAAAAGACGGTAAGCAAGCACCGATTGTGCCCCAATGCATGTCACGCAATAGCGCTGATTTTGAACTAAGCCTTACCTGTCTGGGGTCTTTGCAGGCTCTCTTTTCTGGGTTGGTTTCAGATATGCCTTCTACTTGCTACCTGGTCAGTAATTCTTATCTTCCATTCCCTCAGGCCGCCTCGTCTATCTCCAAGGCATGATCCGCGCATTGAGAGGGGTAAGGAATTATTCGAACTGACTAGCCCACGCTTAGCGACGTTATCCTCATCACCGATTTCCAACATCTCCTTCACCGTATTCTTTTCTCTGACGGCATACTTCTATTTCTGTGCGATGACCGAAGATCCAGGTTTTGTTCCGAAGATGAGCAGCAGGAATCAGCAACGAGCCGTAGTCACCGAATTATTCGAGCAGTGGAAATTTGACGAGGAAAATTTCTGCGTCTTGTGTATGATTCGAAAGCCTTTGCGAAGCAAGCATTGTAAGCGTTGTGGGCGATGCGTCGCAAAGCATGATCAGTGAGGTTCCCGCCAGTCGCTGTCAGAAAAGCGTCCACTAACCCCTATCAGTCATTGCCCATGGATCGACAACTGTGTTGGCGCGAACAATCTGCGGCACTTCGTCTCGTATATCATCTGCTTAGAAATCGGCATCATCTTGTTCTTGCGCCTGACATTCAATTGTAAGTTGTTCTTGGCTCATCTGAAGGATAGCGCAAAGCGGAGCGTGCTCCTGCTGACGAAACTCAAGATATCAACGTTCTTCCAGCTCCAGCGAATCCACAGTGCAATGTCATAAATGATGCATTGTGTGATTTTGTACTCCGTGACACATTTACTCTAGTTCTCGATATCTGGGTGGTCATTCAGCTGGTCTGGATAACTATGCTCTGTGCCGTTCAGCTTGTCCAAATCTCCCGAAACCAGACGACTTACGAAAACATGAGGGGCCATTCGATTGACCGGAGTTATCCAAGCTCACGAGCATTTGCCTCAGCTGTGACGGCAGGTACGACATCGTTAGATGCAGCTGGCCTCTCTTCGGCCGGTCAAGGTCCCAATCCGGCTCTGGCGCAAAATGTTTCACATAGGCACCAACGGAATGGCTGCCTGCAACAATGGTCCTCTCTTTTGGGAGTTGATACATTCTTCGCAACAGCGCGGGACGGGTTACGGGATGGCCCACGCACCGCCCGGCCAAAGAATCCCTTTTCCCGTGGCATTGTCACTAACTGTCAGGATTTCTGGTGCGACCCTGCTCCCTACTTCGGACGACGAGAGCCAGGTTCTGCCATGCTCGGCGGTGAAGTTGTCAATTACAACCGAATGTATGAGATTCCATTGCGAATGCACAGCGGCGGGGGCTACCGTAGCCTGGCCGACAATGACCTAGAGCAAAATGCTTAAATCATCTCTCTTCCTTCACGACTTCAGAGTCGTTGAATCAAGAACCTGAAACTATGACGGTCTCATGCTTGGGAGGCGAGGTTGCAGATCAGCGTCGCGCGAATCCGTGCGGAACGGAGATGTATAGATTAACCTCTCATAGATGGCAATCGTTACCTGTTCTTGGCTCATCACTGTCTCAGTATATTATGCTTTGCATACTCGAATTATATTCTAGATGATAGCCACCGATGGCCTCGGCATATGAGGATTGTATGGATATTTGAAGTTGACACCTGCGCTTGAATCTGGTGAAACTGCGATTGATGGATCTCTCATAATCATACCTAGAATAGTGCCATGACGAAGGGTCAGAGCCACAAAAGGGGGGTTCAATTCCAGCGCAGAGGCTGTAAAGAAAGCTGCAGAGAGCTCTCGGAGCCGAATAGGGACTGGGCGTATGTATGCCCAGTGTATAAGCACAAGTGGAACCGCAAACATTCGTTCATGTAATGTTCATAATTCCTTTGCCCGTACAGTATGATGTACTGGTATTTACATCATCAGTACAAGACGAAGTTACCAAGCATACCGCAGTAATATACCCAGGACCACGTACTATGTAGCAAAAGATCCGATGTCGCAGATTTCAAAAACGCACAATCATGCTAAGATCTTATCTCGGCAGGCGCCATCGACTAGTAGTATGAGTAGTGTAGGAGGTACGTAGGTATATACCAAGGTAAGTATAGTTACATAGGTACATACATACAGGCTACACCACCATATCCTTTCATCCCTTGGAACCTTGTCGGCTGTCTCGTTCTTTCTGAATCTCTACTTCTCCTTCCCTCAAATGAGTAGAGTAGGTGAGAAACAAGTCAATCATGACTATTATTGCATGTAATCGCCGATAGAGTGTTTTGATGAGTACGTGGAGAATCTGCATGTGGATAGGTCTTTTCTGTAGTGTAATGTTACAGAGTGGCTGTAGTGCACCCACAATCACACCTATGCATATCTACTGAGTATGTGGTTTCTATCGGCCTATATGTACTGGCTTGCTGAGATGGGTAGTGGGCAGGGAAAGGCTTGGGGTCTTATAGCATGTGGGCTCGACCGCTGTGTCTGTACTAATCTGACTAGCCTGAGATCAATATTTTCCATTGGTTTGAAGGTGGCGGAGGAGAAGGAGAAGAGAGAAGGAAGAAGGGAGGGGCAAAGGGCCACTGATTGATTAGGGCACAAAGACAATTACATTACTCATTATGTATGTATTCCATGCAGTGTGTAAGACAGCCGAACCCTGCGATTTTGACTCAAAATGGAGAGTGGCGGTTTTGGCCGACGAGCGACACCGCTGATCACAGGCTTCTTGATACTATGTATGATGTACGGTACTGTACATATAGTACTGTACATATATACCTTCTAAGGTTATGAATGTGTACCAGGAACACGTGGGAATCTTCAAATAATAGCCTTCGAGCTAAGCTAGCTCTCTTGCTGCGAAGGGCACGCCCATGAATGCCGATATCTTCGTATGGAGACTATGGACCGGTAGTGAAGACGCCCGAGCAAGGATGGAATAATGAAGCGGAAGAATGACGCAGTATGAGTGAATGGAATGATATAGGGTAATTGATTGGATTGATCTTGATTCTCAATATGAAGCTATTCGTTAAAGGATTGTTTTTGAGGGAGGAGGAGAAGGAGAGAAGGGAGGGAAGTTGAAGAGGCCGTATAAGGCCACCGCCTGCCTTCCTGAGGAAGGAACCATGAAGGCCTCCTCCTCTCCTGCCGCCACAGTAGGTAAGGGACGGAACCGAGAGTTGGGAACACTTCCGACCGACCCCTCACTTGAGGTAACATAGCTAGTAAGAGAGGATCATGCAGCGTTGGCACAACGTGCAATACATACCAAACAACGACTGGGTCCAGACCGAAGCAGAGTCTGCAGATGTGGCTGGATGGATCAGGCCCTAGCGACAGGTTCGAGACATAATGCCCGTTTAGCGCTTATCTGCATGAATGCATGTACATACATGTATGTATTAATCCACCCGAGAAAGAATACCAATATTCATATACTGTACATAGTAGTATGCTCGGTACATTATACAAGAGAGGAGATAGGTTTGCCCAAGTCTATTGTTACCACTACGTACAGTATACTCATTGTCACGGCGAAGGAAACTCCCGGGAAAGAAAGAGGTCCTACAGACCTAGCTCAATGGAGACTATTTACTTGCTGGCCTATGGTCTGACTGATTGAGGCGCTATCCGAGCCGGGCAGCAAAAGCACTTGTTCTTTTTAATCCCTCGTCTTCTGTTAGGGCCTTGGTATTGTGGGCACCGCATGGGCTGGGAGTGGGGCGCCTGGGTTTTCATCAACCGTCAACCCTTCTCTCCCGATCCCCCCCAGAGAGTCACTGGCCTATGACCGATCGATCATAAATGGGCCAGCATTTGGATTCTGTTCAGGTGTGTACTGAGGCGACTACAATTCTATGTGAGCTCCTTTTTTTTCCCCTTCTTTTTTTCTTTCTCATTGAAAAAGCTCCAAGCAAAAGCTATCAGAATTCAGAAGCCAACAACGGGCCAGAAAGAGAAGGTGTGGGTCTTGGGGGACATGGTCTCATCTAATCAATCAGCGGAAATCAGTGAGTGGACCGCAATGCTCCCTCGCGTATACGGCTAGGTTGCTACTCCCGGTCCGTAGGTACGGTACGTACGGACACGGATAGTATGGAGGTATTTTGGGCCGGGCCTTTGTGAAGCAACCCCTTCCGTGTCCACGTCCCGCCAGTACAAATGAGCCAACATCCAAAAAAAGGACAAGCAGTGCTGTACGGTTAAGGAAATGATACTTGCCCATCGAGTTTGAGGAGCACCCTTGGGCTGCAAGCTCCAGGACATGTGTGTATCCTTGGCACTGTAAGGTCTCAAAATCTCCCGGGCCGAACTGTGAGCGAATTACGGGTGTTGCAAGATGGCGCCATCTGATAACAGGAGAAAATTTTTATCTGATCAGATTATCGGGAGGGATCCCGATATTCCCCCCCCCCCCCTCCTTCCAATTAACCTTGGTAGAGGATGCGCCTCGGGTTCCGAATGGCGAGAACAGGCGGACCACAGAGTGGTGTTAGATAACATATTTTGGAGTCTTTTTTCCCTTTCCCCAACCCCTTCCAATTGTTGTTGTTGTTGTTGTTGTTGTTGTTGTTGTTGTTGTTGTTGTTGTTGTTGTTGTTTTCGCTCCCCCTTCATGTTACCATTTTCTGCTTGTGCACCGTGACTAATTCATGACCTTGGTGTAGCTCATAAACTTATCCGATGTAGGCCAATCAGCTCCGGTCGCTTGACGTCAGCGGGCCTGTAACTTACAGTATCGTAAGGTACTAAGTACGAAGTTCCCCAATTATCGTCTCCACGCCGGCCTCAGACCCGTTGCTCTTCTTCTTCCCTCCCTTTACCCTCCCACCACCCACCCAAAGGCGCATAATTTGAACTTTTCTTGATAACACAGTACATGGGACAGCTAATGACTTCAAATCATTGAAGTAGAGTCGTTCGGCAATTCTGTCCCTCGTTGGCTAACCTAGGGTATCATTGAGTTACATTCTGTAGGTACAGCACAATGCCATGGCATTATTTTCTACGTCGCTCCAATTAGAAAGTATTGATTCGAGCAACAATGTATCTCATCTCAATCTCTATATAATATGCTACGTACCTTGAGTTTCTCAGTATCAAAGTTGTATGTAAATGATATACTTAACACGAGTAAGCGATCATAACTGACAAATATATTGTTTACAGTCAAGGTAATTCCTGAAGCAAGCGTTTCTTTTTTCATCTCACCCGCCCCTCTATTTTTCTCCTCTTCTCTTCTGATCATTCAAGTATTATTCCCAGGCATCAGGAAGTTATGCCGACGAAACAGACCTGCGGATGCCTCCCTGGATCAGATTCCTGTATTACAGCATGGCGCGCAATCTGGTGGCCGGCACCGTCGCACCCGACAGCTGTTCACCAAAGATCGATTCCACCATCTCTCCGCCTCGAGCGGCCAAGACAGACAGAAGACTGTCGCTCAGGCCATGTGTCTTCTCATTGCAGCCCTGAAGCCAAATGCCTGCATGGGCGCTGACTTTGCTGGTGTCCATATCGACCCGATAATCCCGGCCAGGGGTCCACACTTCCTGCCCCGCCGGTCGCAGGTGCTGTACGTTCTTCAAAAGTTGCTCGTGTGCATTGCGGTTGTAACCCGTTGCCACCATGAGGGCATCCACCTCCAATGTCTCCTTGCCATCACCAACCAAGCTGTCCGCTCCATCCTTAGCGGCGCGAACGTGAATGCGCATCCGACTTTGGGGACCATGATGTTCAACTCGGGTGACTTTACGGCCAGGTAGAATGCGGTGTTGCCACTGTGTCTCGTCAGGGTTCTGGATTCGCTGGGTATACATGTCGTCGAAAATCTGCTCGATGAGCTCAAGCCGGACGACACTGTAATTAGTGGCCTTGTCGGCCTTGAGGGAACGCTGACGTTCATTCGCAGAAAGGTTGTAGAATTTATCGATTCTCTCGGGATTGAAGAGTTCATTGACGCTAAACATCTGAGTCAGTTCACAGGGCCAGAAGGTTGAGGGAGGAGGTGATATGAGGTGATTGCGCTTACAATGGGGAGTCATCGCTGGGTCGCATGGCGGTATCCCGCATTATCAGGGTAGTCTTAGAGTTAGGATAACGCTTCTGAATATCGTGGAAGATTTCCGCAGCACTTTGGCCGCTTCCAAGAACGGCAACGTTGTAAGGTTTGCGCTCGTCGCTGAGTAGAGCGGGTAGATTGGTGCAGTACTGGGACGAATGCAGGATCCGGGGGTCTTGAGGAAGGCCTGGGGGCATCTTTGGACTGCCACCAAGCGCAACTACGACCTTCCGTGCCGTTCTGGAGGAAATCTCTCCGGTCTCGAAATTGCGGGAACGAACAGTGAAATAGTCAACCACCGAGCCTGTCGGGTCGGTTTTGCCCGGAACCACATCAATCACCTCTTCTCCGTAGGAGACCACCTCGGAGAACCGTTGCGCACACCAGCGCATATAATCTTCGAACTCCAGGCGCGCTGGAGTGAACGTGCCCAGATTTGTGAAGTGAATCAACCGCTCCTTCTGGTGAAGGTAGTTGAGGAAGGTGAAACTGCTGCGGGGATCACGGAGGGTGGCCAGGTCCTTGATGAAAGAGATTTGCATTTTCGATCCGGGCAGCAACATGCCCGGATGCCAGGCGAACTGCTTCTGACGCTCCAGAAAGCAGACTCTAGGTTGCCAGCCGGAGCTGGAGGTGGACTTGTTCAAACAAGGATCCAGGGCATCGTTCAAGGCAATTGCGATTGCGAGCGATGCAGGACCAAACCCCACACAAAGCAAATCGTGTAGCTCGTCTTGGGGGCTTGCTCGGAGACGGGATGGCTCCCGCTGTTGCTTGACAGCCATGTCGCGGTGGCTCTGGAAGCTCACTTCAGGCTTCCGGACGATAGACTCCATTGGTGCTAGCTATGCTAGACAAGATGTGGCAAAAGGGAGTAGCTGGCGAGAAATAAATCAGAAAGGTCTGTGTCCCAAGATCAGGATGGGAATGGGAGCATAAAACACCGTGGGCGGGCTTTGGAAAGAGCAGAAGATAGTGTTTGGGGAGAGGTAGGGAGAGAGTAGAGAGGGAGAGAGAGAGAGAGAGAAAGAGAGGGAGGAAATTGCGGTAGGTTACGGGCGAGGGGTCGTAGGTAGTTATATGCACCGGTGGATTAATCGATGGGGGCAATGGAGAGAAAGGATGGAGTCAGGCGCGCCGAAAATGGAATCCAAGATAATCGAAGCGGATAAATTATGACTGTCCATATGGGGCAGGAAAAAACAATAAAACCGATCTGATAATCTACGAATGAAAAAATCGGTGGAAGTTAAATACCGAATACGTACTGTAGGTCCACAGACGGACGGTGGTGGTTTCCTGGGGAGCCCAAGATGGATAAGATTATTTTTTTGAAGCGACGGATCCTGCTTAAGGCTATGAAACTTTTTAGTTTTTGCAGGTCGGAATCCCGAGTGGTTCGATCAATTCTTTCTTTTCCTTCCTTTCCTCTCCCTCTCTCCCTTTCCTTTTCCTTTCCTTTCTTCTTTTTCTTTTTCTTTTTCTTTTGTTTTTGTTTAAGGTTCCTTCTAATTTATGTTGATTTCGGTGTCTGTAGACGCAATTGTATGACGCAGTTATATCTAACCCAACGTTCTCTCGACTTTGAATATAACTTACCTCATCTCTCCTGCTTGCTTTTTCAGCGCTCCAGCATAATTCGGCTGGCCATGCTTTGACAGCGGGCCAGGAATAGCATAGTGAATGAATGGATGGGTGGACACACGGTCCCACTGGCCCAAGAAACGTGGTAAGAGCAAGGTACGTACTTACTACCGTACTGACTGTACTTGAGTACCAAAACTACAGAATGATACACCAAAGGGGAGGGAGGAGTGGGTGAAGAGTCCGACCCGAGTGTGCCCCGCAGTCCGTTCGGTGTAGAATCCTGGAAGTGGAAAGTGGAAAGTGGAAAGTGTGATGGACGCTTAGATTAGATCCGCAGTCGCCCGATGTCGGAAAATTGGACTAGCCCCCGACGGGCTACGTACTGTACATACCTATACAGATAGATGTATTTGTTATATATGTAATTGTCTTGTCATCCTTTCCCCTTACAATACAAACAATAAATCCATCTTTCTTCATTCCCAAGCAAACCAAAAAGAAACCTTTTCTAAATGTATAGGTAGTTATAGGTAGTAGGTATCTCCCAACTTGCTAGGTACAGTACAAGTAGTTGGCCAAAATCAGTGCAGTGGAGAAAAAGCCTTCAAGCACGAACATAGCAGTTTAAACTTTGATAGGGAAGCTTGTCAGCACACGATCACGAGAGACTTCCTTCATCTGCACGCTCCTACTCATACCTAGTAGTGTGCTGCCTCAAGCAGTTGTGGAAGCATCAAGGGCCGCTCGGGAGCCTCTCTAGGCGTTGGGAACAACCTTTACTCACCTTTATACTAACGCAGAAGGACCCTGTAGGCAGAGCCAGTTGTTAAGCAGTCTCACCCTGATCACGAACCTGTCTGATGGCCACATGCATGAACCAATACCTCGTTTTAATCTGAACCGCCTGTTGAATGGATGTGGATGAGGTGCCTATGCCTTCTACAGGCCTAGATGCTGGACCGTGGACATTTGCCTCGCGCCAACCCCTACTTAACATTGGATGGCACTGCGCAAAGGCATAACGACTGGCTTGCGACTAGTGGCGGTCATTGATCGGTGAGTCTCTATGTTGAGGGCAAGAATGGTGTGATTTCTATAATCAGCTGGTTTGAGGTGATTTTTACTGGAGCCCGGCTCTAACCCCGCCTTCACCATGGTAGAATAAGCACGGTCTTGGAAGAAAGTTACACCACAGCGAAGGCACCACCTACCTACCCCTCACTAGCTACCTGGTACTGTAACCCCTCCTCCGGGCCGCTTTTATTTGATTATGAATGCCTTTGTTCTAGTTGGTTGAACTTTGATTAAATACAGTCAGAACTCTCAGTGTATAGTTACTGTAAAAGATGCAAGTGACTTTACACCACAGGCTCTCAAAGGTGTTCGCCTCAATGTGACCGCCAATAAGATACTTAGTCACATATCACCCTTGACTACTACTTATTCCTCCAGAGGCATGTGTATGCTATTACAGCATTTCCCTACCTATACCAAGAGACCGTAGTAGCAGACGTAATAGTGCTAAGACAACATTTGCGTCAACAAAGACAGATTTCAGAGCTCATGGGTGCTGTAAGAGGTCTGAATTGAAATATTTTAGAGTAAAATGATGCACCTGAGATTCTTCTTCTGTGCAAGTGTGCTATATATGAGTATTGTACATATCTTGGTCGAATAATTGATCCAAAGCAGGGGGGTGGTTTAGATCAGCAGTACTTCTTCTAGCTATATCACTCAGATGGCAACAAGCCATTGCCAGCATGCGAGTATAGGCGTTGTTATACCAGGCTCAGTATCTTCGACTTTAACATTGCTGACCTGTCTCAGACCCTGGTACTGCAATTCTATTTGATTCCTACAGGCTGGATAAATTTGGTAGAGCAACAGTCTCCACCTACTGTGTGATATACGTAGTATACATTGGATGATACCCTACCTGAAGTATAACTTGAAAGATGGGCGCATGCCCATGGTACCGATAGCACTAATGATACCTAGAACTG